GACTTGTCAGTTAATGTTCCCAAAGAAATCAGGGTTCTGATGTCTCACGTGCGTAGGAATATGTAGGTCAGAGAAGCAGAACGTTCTGTTTGACTAGCACTAGTATTTTACAAAAGCAGAATCTCATCATGCATGATCTGGTTGCCTCCTTATCTTTTGCGATCTTGCAACGGTTCGTGATGGGATGGGATGGGGTTTTGTTTTAGGTGATCACCACATGCACGCATCTGCATTGTGTTGGCTTGCTGAAACTTTTCCTGTTTTTTTGCCGATATGCTTGCTGAGCCCGTGTTTAGTTGGTGAAAAGTTGAAAATTTGACAACGGTAGCACTTTCGTTTCTATTTGGCAATTAGTGTTTAATCATGGATTAATTAGGCTCAAAATGTTCGTCTCGTAATTTTCAACCAAACTATGTAATTAGTTTTTTTTTCGTCTACATTTAATGCTCCATGCACGTATTGCAAGATTCGATGTCATGGGTACTAGCACTTTTTGAGAAAACTTTTCGCGAACTAAACAAGGGGTGATGCTGAATAATCATGCTTGGGACAATGCATGTTAACCTACATGAAGTCATCATGAGCAACATGTAGAGTATAATCAGCATATGAATCACAAACTGGTTCATCATAACCGTGTTAGTTACTTGCAGAAGACTACTCCACATTCCTCTATCTCTGAGACTCTGACTCAGCATGCCATGCCACCGTGATGCCCTGCGCAGGTCCTCTGTTGAACGGCAACTTCGAGGATCCGCCGAACCAGTCCCAGATGAGCGGCTCGGTGGTGACGGGGGAGCACGCGATCTCCTACTGGAAGACGTCCGGTCACATCGAGCTCATCTGCTCCGGCCAGAAGCAGGGGGACATGGTCCTGACGGTGCCGGACGGCGCGCAAGCCCTGCGGCTGGGCAACGGCGCCTCCATCCAGCAACAGATCAGCCTCACGCCGGGCTTGTACTACTCCCTCACCTTCAGCGCGTCGCGCACCTGCTCCCAGGACGAGATGCTCAACGTGACGGCCGCCCCCGTGTCCGCCGGCGGCTCCCCGGCCCAGACCGGCGAGCTCCCCATCCAGACGGTGTACACCAGCAGCGGCTGGGACGCCTACTCCTGGGCCTTCAAGGCGGAGGCCGGCTTCGTGTCCATCATCATCACCCACAACTGCGGCGAACAGGAAGATCCCGCGTGCGGCCCCATCGTCGACGCCTTCGCCATCAAGACGCTCAGCCAGCCTGAGGCCACTCCGGGCAACATGCTGAGGAACGGGGACTTCGAGGAGGGCCCGTACATCGCGCCGGAGTCGCCGTGGGGAGTGATGGTGCCGCCGATGGACGAGGACGACGTCTCCCCGCTGCCCGGGTGGAAGATCATGTCGTACAAGAAGTCCGTCAAGTACGTCGACTCGGCGCACTTCGCGGTGCCGCGCGGCGCGCGCGCCGTGGAGCTGGTGTCCGGCGTGGAGACCGCGCTGCTGCAGGAGGTGTACACCACCGTGGAAGGGAGCTGGTACAGGCTGGAGTTCTCGGCCGGGGACGCCGCCAACGGGTGCGGCGCGTCGCCGTCGTATGACGATGGTTCCTCGTCGCCCGGGATGAAGGTGAAGGCGTACGCGGGGCCGAGCGAAACCACCGTAGACATCGATTTCCGCGGCGCCGGCGGTTCCAAGCGCGGGAAGATCGAGTTCAGGGCGGCCGCGAGCCCCACCAGGGTGGTGTTCCTCAGCTTGGGCTACCACACCAAGTCCGACAACAGCGGCACGCTTTGCGGGCCTGTCGTAGACGACGTCTCGCTCGTCCCCATACCGCCGCCGAATGCTCGCCGGCTGCTTCTCTAGGCGTAACATAAAAAATAAAAAAAAAAAAAAAAAACTTGCTTTACGGTTACGGCCGGCTATACTCATGCTGCGTCTTTTTTGTAGAAGAAAGTACACATGCTGCTTGGGTGATATGGAGAGTGTGACTGTGCTGGTTTACTGGCCCATTTTGGCTTACCCTTTTGTACTACTACATTTATTCACTTTCCCATTTTGGCTATTTGAGAAAACAAAATACGTACACTGAATTAAGCTGTTTTCATAAATAAAATGGTTTAATAAAATCCAAACTCATTCTTCCATGGCCCTATGCCGGCATGCCGCTATCCCACTCCCACCCAGTGCATGGATTAAAGCGTATAGGGAATTTTCTGTCAAAGTGAGCCTAGCATTGTTGCAAGGGTTTCTACTAGCTAGCTACTAGGGTACTTCTCTATCCCATAAAAATTGTGATCCTAACATTTAAATTTTATCCCACAAAGGGTACCACTATAAATAAACATATAGGATCCTACCTAGGTGTTTTTTATCCCAACCACTAAAAAACACTAGGCTAACTTTTTGTAAGGCTATTTGGTCATTTACCAATTGCATTGGTATACCTCCTAACTTAATTAAATGACTCTCTTTGTACAAGAACGAAGTATGATAGAATATTAGTCGCTAACTAACCACCCATTCTTTCTCGGCCTGGTAATGGGTTGGGTTAAAATGATTTAAGTTCTCAAGTAGGTATACAATGGTTGAGTGGGAATGAGTATATATTTTCAATGGGTTAGTTTGGGTTTAATAGAAAGTTAAGTTGTGTTGCCGTATTGGTTTCCTTTTTTCTGGGTTTGAATGGGTTGAAGCCAATAGAAAAGTGGGTCCGATTGGGTTCGTTTTTCCTAGGTTTGAATGGATTGAACCCATGACGACTTAATGTTGGATGTTCTATTCCCCTAAAAAAAGATATTGTATAGGTACACATGTATGTTGGTCTCAAATGGGTAGAGACTAGAGAGTATTAAATAGTATAGCCAGTCTGTTAATTTGTTATGAGATCCACATGTTTAACTAGAGGTGATAATTGGCATGATATAGCTTCTTATTAAATTAAATAATAAATTTAAGTCAATTTTGCTAAATTTTTTAGGAAAACAAGTCCGAATTTGATGTGGGGCATATATGTTGTTCTTGCCGTGCAAATTAGCACATAGTAGCTTTATGTCACTTTGAATTATTTTCAATAAATTTTAGTTAATTTCGCTAAAACTTTAAGGTGTGAATATAAGCTTTTAGTTTTAGGGCTCCCGACTTTTGACATGAGATCCACATGCAGATCTTGCCACATTAATTGATACGAAGTATATCCGAGGACCAAAATACCCTAGGGTTTTTAGGCTAGAAAATTGTGCCCACAAACATCCTATGGCCATGCCAATACTTTTTGGCCTGGGCTTGGCCCTAGTTGGGTCGCCCACTACTTTTTAGTGCGAAAATAACTTAACTGAAATAAACCAGACCAGGCTCAAACCCACTTTTTTTTGTTTGTGCTTCATTGTCCACTGATAGTTGCAAGTTGAGCCAAGACTAGTGGGCTCGGGCTGGACAAAACATGCTCATGTCTAGCACAATGTAGATTCATGTCACATTGAATCATATCCAATAAGTTTGGATCATTGTTGTTAAAAATTTAAGATGCGCACACCAGATCCTTGTTCTAGGTCTGGCTCTGATGTGGAGCTCACATGTTCATCATGCAGTGCCAATTGGCTCGAAGCAGCTCCCTGATGTAGTACAACAAAATTATTAAAATTTTAAGGCGTGAACACAAAACTTTAGTTTTAGGATCTGCCTTTGATATTGATCCGCATATTTTTATTTAAATACAATATATCTTTTTTTGCAAATTCTCATGAGTTTTACTAGTTGATAGGTTGGATTGAGTTGAGTTAAAACACTAAAGTTTTGGGTTCCCCGCCCAAAAAAAAACAAAATAAATTTTGGGTGGATAAATAGTTAATTTACTGTGGGTTGAATTGGAGGGCAAGTTTTAACCCATTTTAGCTGGGCTAATCGTTACGTTACCTGTGACTGTGAGGCTGTGACTAGTTTCGCTACCACATGGACCGAACTCGAGGCTGTGATTAGCAGCGCAAATAACTGGTGGCGCGTCGAGCAGTCTGCACTTCGCCGGCAAGCAGCCTGTTCGCCAAAGAGACCTTGAGCTGGGCTAATCGTTCCGTTACCTGTGACTGTGAGGCTGTAACTAGTTTCGCTGCCACATGGACCGAACTCGAGGCTGTGATTAGCAGCGCAAATAACTGGTGGCGCGTCGAGCAGTCTGCACTTCGCCGGAAAGGCCGGCGCCTTGGGATTACCCCGAGCTCTGAAATGGCCATAAATAACTCCATGATTCTGGACGGCCATGTGAGCACGCGGAGTATGAAGCACGCCGTCCCCAGTCACCACCCGGCTGAGGAGGTCGAACGGCTATTCCTTTCAGACACCGCGCTTTCAGGTGTCAGGACCGCCGACGATGCCCTGCGAACCACCTCGTTCGTGGAAGCCCCCGCGGATCCGGCGCACGTTTCGCTCTGTCGGCCTGATGAAGACGCGCCTTGGCCAACTTGGCTGCCATGATTGGCGGTTCCAACGACGAGACAGAGTTCTCGACGCCGCACGTCCCCCTATAAGTGCAAAACTGCAAAGTAGCCTGAAGCCATCGACACGAACCACTGCGTGTTCATAGGTTCCTGACGTATCTGACTTGCATTCGAGCGGGTCGGTTGTTTCTTGAGTCGGAGAAGGTAGACGATGGGAAGGGGAAGCGAGACAGTGCTGAATGCACGTCGAGCTGCGCTGTTCTTGATCGTCTGTTTGGCGGCTCGAGCAGCTTCGGCAATCCAGGATGGTGAGAACTCTCTTCATGCTGTGAAGTACGTGTGAACTACTAGGATGTCTCTGAACAGAGCTATTGATAGTCACTCGCAGTGATGTGCCATGATTTTGTACTCAGTACGCTTGAAGCAGTTTGTAGCTTTTATTTGTTTGATTTTTTTTTTCGAGCTAATTTTTTGTTTTTTTAACTGAAACTGGAGGGCTCTCATCTCCTGCAGTCCGATCCATTTCTAACGATGCTAGTTCAGAGTCGGCGCGTGGTCTACTGGCGTGTCATCGCCAAGCTGTTTGATAAGCAGGCATGAGCTCTGAAATGTCAGTTCTAACTAAGCGGTTCAATGGTTCATGCTCAGGCCTGCTGCCGAACGGCAACTTCGAGGAGGCGCCGCCCAAGTCGCAGCTCAACGGCACAAGGGTGATGGGGCGCTACGCGATACCGCACTGGGAGATCTCGGGGTACGTGGAGTACATCGGATCGGGCCAGAAGCAGGGTGACATGCTCCTGCCGGTGCCGGAGGGCGCCTACGCCGTGCGGCTGGGGAACGAGGCCTCCATCCAGCAGCGTCTCGCCCTGACGCAGGGCGCGCACTACTCCATCACCTTCAGCGCGGCGCGCACCTGCGCGCAGGCCGAGCAGCTCAACGTCACGGTCGCCCCCGAGTCGGACATACTCCCCATCCAGACGGTCTACAGCAGCAGCGGCTGGGACTCCTACTCCTGGGCCTTCAAGGCCACGGGCAGCGTCGTGTCGCTCATCGTCCACAACCCCGGTGTCGCCGAGGACGCAGCCTGCGGCCCCCTCATCGACTTGTTCGCCATTAAGACCCTGCCGACTCCTCAGAGCAGCAAGAGTAAGAATTCTAGCTAACACCTTTCAAATCGAAGCCCCCAATGGCCACAGGCGCTCCACCGCGAAACACTGACGAATGACTCACTTCTTGCAGATAATATGCTGAAGAATGGGGACTTCGAGGAGGGCCCGTACATCTTCCCCAACGCGCGGTGGGGCGTGCTGGTGCCGCCGATGGACGAGGACGACTACTCGCCGCTGTCCCCGTGGATGATCCTGTCGTCCACCAAGTCGGTGAAGTACGTGGACGCGCCGCACCACGTCGTGCCGCACGGTGCCCGCGCCGTGGAGCTGGTGTCCGGCATGGAGACAGCGCTGGTGCAGAACGTGACCACCGTTCCCGGACTGCCGTACAGGCTTCAGTTCTCGGTCGGGGACGCCGGCAACGGCTGCGTGGGCTCCATGTCTGTCCAGGCGTACGCCGCGAGCCGGAGCGTGAAGGTGCCGTACCAGTCCCAGGGCAAGGGCGGCTACAAGCGCGGCGCGCTGGACTTCACGGCGACCGCGGACCAGACGCGGGTGGTATTCGTCCGCATGGGCTACATCATGAAGCCCGACGGCACGCTCTGCGGACCCGTCGTCGACGACGTCTCGCTAGTCTGCACGCGAAACCGTCCTGCTCGCCGCTTGCTTCTGTGATGCTACTGACAAGATTCATTCATGGGTTAATGTGAATGGCTGTGAGTGTGCTCGAACTCGAATGCCCGGGCTTCATTAAATCTAGGTAGATTCCACGGTCATCATATGTATTTGCATCTCTGTTTTATTTTTCTTAGCCAAATGTACTTGCTTCGTTCTCGTTGTATAAACTATGCTTCGACGAGTGTCCATGGTCCATCAAACCATGTTACTGCTACAATCTTAATTAGCTTTGTACTAACTAAATTACTTATTTTCATGTGCTCTCTTTTTTCATTTTCTAATAATCCAAATACCCACATTGAACTCTGGCACTCTGCAATATCTTGTTTGTGATGACTTTATCAATTACTTTGAAAAAAAAAAATAAATTCCATTTCGGTTTTGGTGATTAATAAGCAAAAGTTATTGTAACTAACGTGTGTTTTGTAGAAACGTTGTTTTCGGTTAGCCACAATGATGACCACATGGTATTCTTAGCCTGGATTTTAGATTCTAAGTACCGGGCACAAAGGATATTCGCAAAGGCTAAGACTAAACGCCACTTGGCCTGGCAGGATTTTTTCTCTAGCAATTATATCTGACAAAAGGAAAGCAATTTGAACTTACTTGAGAAGATAGCAGAAAACTGACTAGGGTTTGGGATTTTGATCATGAACGACAAGTGGCATGAATACAAACAAAGATCATCAAGGGCGTGATTGGATGGCGTACGTGGATGAGGCAGGTTGGGCACCGGAGCTGGGCCAAGCGTGGCCATGCTCAATGGACGCGGGTAGCCTTGTTTACTTTGCATCATCGCGCGGTCTAGATTCGACGCACTAGTGATTGGTTACCCGTGTTTGCGCTTCATGAAGTAGAAAAAGCAGGCATGGTACACGCGCGTGGCACTGCGCGAGCCTGGCTCACGAGAAACAGATTCATTCCTGTTTTCGCGGAGCCAGACTGAGAAGTGGAATTTGCACAAGCTGGACCAAGCTTCACTCATCTTTCAGGCAACCAAACAATCAAACGTTGATGGGCATGGCTGGACTCTATCCACCCAACCAGTCACGCCCTAAGCTCACCAAGGAACAAGACGCTGGACCCTCTGAAGAGGAGGAAGGTGAAAGATGACACGAGACATAAGGGTGCACTGCAGCGGTGACAGCGGCGCACACAAGCGGTGAGGCAGCGAATGCAGGCGGCTACGGTGATGAGTAGCTATGGGAGATTGTTGAGGAGGCCGTGTGTGCGAACAATTGGCCGACAATGAGACACATGTGTGGGATCAGCGGTGGAGGCGTTGCCAGCAGAAAGCGTAGAGAGGCAATGTCGGCTTAGGGTTTAACGAAGGTCAATGAAGTTGATTGAAAGCCGAGCAGTCGTGTAAAACTGTTGATGGACGGCTCAGATCGTTATAATCAGATCAAAGGCATAGATCTCTAACACAACAAGATCAACGGATGATCCATCCATGGGTGGCTTCTATCACAAGATCATACAGTGAGTATCGTCGAATGAACCACTGAGGTAAGCCGGGACATACGGGGATCAATAGAGACATACCAAAAGAATGATTGTTGAGTAGAGCTTCATCGCATGATAAGTTGAGTATCGAAGGCCATCACCAGATCATACGGTAGCTAGCTTACAGAGTAGCCAATTGTATATAAGATATATTTATTTTTCTGAATGAATGTTAACTTCAAAGGCATATTTCATTTGTTGTAATGGATATGAAATTATGAACATTGGTTGAACCAATTCATCTACCACACATGAAGCCATCTTTTGGGTTGTTATAGATGTACTTCGTATATTAAGACTGTCACTCATGTTACACTTGGTATCTATTGCATGTTAATTGATTTTTGCATCGCTATACTTAAAGCTTGTATTGATTATCTCAGATTATTAACGAGTCCTTAGTTATATTTTCTAGATTTGTAAATCATTATATGTAGTCGGCCTATTCACTGGTTGGTTTCTGGGCTGATAAGCCCGGCTGGTACTGATTTGTTGTGAAAGGAAAACACTGTTGGCTGGCTGATAAGCCCTAGCTGAAACCAACAAGCGAACACATGATCAAATAATTGCTTACTGCCGGAATATTGGAGTCAGAGAACAAGACTTGTGCAAAGCCATACTAATGTGCCACACGAGTACAAATTTATTCTCAGCTTAGGTTATACCACTGAGACAATCTTTTTTACTCCCATTGCAACGCATGGACAATCACCTAGTCTTCTCCAAAAGCAGACGTCATCACCAAGACATTGTCTGCCCAGTATGACTTATCAGCACACTTAGTGTACCTTTAATGGCTAGCTCTAAACTAATAACACATGGAGTAGAGAGAGACCAGAAACCTTTAAGCTAGCCGGAAGAGAAGAGCTAAGCTCTTGCGCGTCCTAAGGCATTATATATATATATATATATATATATATATATATATATATATATATATATATATATATATATATAGAGAGAGAGAGAGAGAGAGAGAGAGAGAGAGAGAGAGAGAGAGAGAGAGAGAGAGAGAGAGAGTATATATGAATAAATAACACCTTAAATGTGAAGCATACGTGATGAGATACTATTTAAAAGTTGATACCTTACTCTTACTATTGAAGATGTGCTTATATTTGATCTAATGCGGAACATGCTATTATGCATATTAAGCCTGTGCATTTTCCAATATGTCATTCTATTCACTATCCTATTATGAACTATAATTTTATTTGCTTGTTACATGTGAAATGCATATAAAACACTATTGCGATTGATCTCTTGCACCTGGAGTCAATATCGACGGTGATAGAACGACAAAACTGAAGAAATATATCCGCTTATGAAAACTTTTGTTATTTTGGTGAGACATAGCAACTCGTGTGCATTTAACTAGTTTTTTTTAAAAGAGAATTGCTAAACAACACTTGGTTGTTTAGTCCCCTCTCAGCACTTGATTTTCTCTTCCTCTCATTCTTTTCTCCGGCTTCTCCCCCTCTTCTTCCCCCAACTCCAGCGGCCTTATTCCTCTCATTCTTTTCTCCGGCTTCTCCCCCTCTTCTTCCCCCAACTCCAACGGCCTTAGAAGAGGCCGGTCAGGGGAGGTAGGCCAGCCAGATGGTGGTCGGGCAATTAGGGGCCCTGACGGTGGTGGAGGCGACCGGACCAGATCGGGATGGGGGCGCCATGGCCAGAGCTCGTCGCGGAAGCCGCCATCCCGATCTCGCCGCCACCGCTGCCGTGCTAGGGTTTCGTCGGAGCTCTGGCAACAAACCCTAGCACGGCCGTGGGTGAGGAAGAAGATGAAAAGTGAAGGAAGGAAAAACCAAGCGTGGAACACTCAAGTGCTGGCTAGACAGCTTCTTAAAAAAATGGCTCTGCATTGACCACTCAGGACTGTTGGGATTTGGCCATTTGGTAACCCCGAAGCTTTTAAATGGCAATTTGGTAACCCCGAAGTTTTTAATTTGCCATTCACCGTTACTCTACAAACTAAAACTACTACTGCTAGGTGGCCAGGTCCATGTGAGCAGAGGCAGACGCAGGCTTTAGCCGCGCCATCCATCCCCAGTCACCACCCGTCCAGTGAGTGCACCACCGAACCGCATCGGCACCTCATGTCGGAGGATGCCCTGCTATCCACCGCGATCGGGCGCGGGCTTCGTTCAGCCTCGTCAAGACGCACAGGGCAATTTGGCCAATCACTAATCCATCTCCTGAGACACTTCACGAGCACGTCTACTCTTAGAACTATGGCTTGAGCTAGTCACCGCACTGTACTGGGGTATGTAGATTTCGTATAGGTACGTTCTTCCATCCAAGGAAAAAGGAGTGTCCCAGCAGTTGTTCCGCCGGAGAAGACAGCTGATGAGAGGGGAAAGGGATATGGTGCAGAACGCTCCCCACGCTGCGCTGTTCTTGCTCGTCGCCTTGGTTGCCCCAGCGGCTTCGGCCATCCCGGACGGTGAGAACTTGGAAAATATGCTATTTCTTCCTATATAACTCTTTTTTTTCAGTTTTTGATAAACAAATAGGGTGTCTCATCAAATATTTCTGCCGACGCCAGTTTTGCTCATGGCAGGCACGTGACGCCCCCGTCTCGTGCTGTGTCACACGCGAATGAGTTCTGAGTTCTGAACAATGCTAGTATGCTGCTCTGCTCTCAGGCCTGCTGCCGAACGGCAACTTCGAGGAGACACCGGCGAAATCGCAGCTCAACGGCACGCGGGTGATGGGGCGCTACGCGATCCCGCACTGGGAGATCTCCGGGTTCGTGGAGTACATCGGGCCCGGCCAGAAGCAGGGGGACATGATCCTCCCGGTGCCGGAGGGCGCCTACGCCGTGCGGCTGGGGAACGAGGCCTCCATCCGGCAGCGGCTCGCCGTGACGCGGGGCGCGCGCTACTCCGTCACCTTCAGCGCGGCGCGCACCTGCGCCCAGGCCGAGGAGCTCAACGTGACGGTCGCCCCCGAGTCGGACATACTCCCCATCCAGACGGTCTACACGAGCAGTGGCTGGGACTCCTACTCCTGGGCCTTCAAGGCTAGGCACAGCGCCGTGACGCTCATCGTCCACAACCCCGGTGTCACTGAAGACCCCGCCTGCGGCCCCCTCCTCGACGCGTTTGCCATCAAGACTCTCCACCCTCCTGCGCTCACCAAAGGTAAACTCCCAAAATGAAGCTGCCATGAATGTTGGGGCTTCCACACTCAACACTAACCCCGCATGTTCATTGTTCAAAGAAACGAAATGCTGAAAATGCCCGAATGCCTTGCAGATAACATGCTCCGGAACGGGGACTTCGAGGAGGGTCCGTACATCTTCCCCGACGTGCCGTGGTGGGTGCTGGTGCCGCCACTGGACGAGGACGACTACTCGCCGTTGTCTCCATGGATGGTCCTGTCGACGACCAAGTCCGTCAAGTACCTGGACGCGGCGCACTACACCGTGCCGCACGGCGCGCACGCCGTGGAGCTGCTGTCCGGCGTGGAGACCGCACTGGTGCAGGACGTGGCCACCGTGGTCGGGCGGCCGTACAGGCTCGAGTTCTCCACCGGGGACGCCGGGGACGGGTGCGCGGGCTCGTTGTTCGTGCGGGCCTACGCGGCGCGCGGCAGCGTGACGGTGCCGCACGAGTCGCAGGGCAAGGGCGCGCACAAGCGCGGCGTGCTCGACTTCACGGCGATCGCGAACCGGACGCGGGTGGTGTTCGTCAGTATGGCATACACCATGAAGAACGACGGGACGCTCTGTGGGCCCGTCCTCGACGATGTCTCGCTCGTCGGCTTGCACAGCCATGCTGCTCGCCGGTTCCTTCTGTAGTTCTGTGATAATAGTTACTGCTTACTACTGAAGTGTTGACGTGTTCAGACTTCAGAATATGTTTGGGCAGCTGGGGCTCGACCGCTCGACTAAGGTTGGGGCGTTGGGCAGATTTACCTTACTTCCCCCCACATGGAGAGACGTAGTATTTATTTTTTTTCAAAACTAAGAATCTTATTGTCGGTATTTTTTTACTATTCAGCTTTCAGCAACAAACCGGTAGTGCTCCCGTCCAGACGTCAGGACGCCTACGCCTGCACCCCGTTCCAACGCTTACACTCCGCGTTTCCGCGTACCGCCCGACCCTACGCGGCGTCTGCGCCCCGCTCGACCCCATGCACCTTCTCTAGCAGCTGTGGCAGGCGGGTCACATCACAACATATGCAACACCTGATCTACTTTTGAAACATCTAAATGCAACACTTGCAATATACGTCTGAAGATAGATAAAGCATTTGAAACATGCGCATTAACACACTTGTAAAAACACCTTAAAACACTTGAAAACCATTTCAAACATATGCAACATTTAGATAAAACACTAGCAACATACATGTGAAACATATGCAACATCCAAATAAATACACTTGCAACATACGTCTGAAAAACAGATGAAACATTGGGAATAGACTCTTGCAACATACGTGTACAACCATTGCAACGTATGCAACATTCTGATTTACTTTTGCAACATCCAAACAAACACACATGCAACATACCTCTGAAACATTTAAAATACTTGAAACACACGCTTGCAACATGCGTTTTGAAGCGCAACATCTACTTGCTGCTTGGACGAAATGGAGGCCCGTCGACGCAGAGCTCGACACAGACGAGAAGCTCGATGCTGTGGAGTGGCGCGTGAATGCTAGCGGGCGGGCGGCGGCGCGGCCTCAACGAGCGGCTGCGCGGCTCTAGAGATAGGGCTGTCGGGTGTAGTCCCTCGTGCTGAGGTGCCCCGCGGTGGAGTGCCCGCGGCGAGCGACCCCCATGCTGGAGATGGTGAGTGGCGGGCGGGCATTGTGGTGGATTCAGGTGCAAAGGTCCGATGGCGCGGTGGACAAGGCCACGGCGAGCGAGGAGAAATGGCGAAGCGGCGTTTTATGGAGAAGCTCCATCCGAAGCGGCGTTTTATGGAGAAGCTCCGTCCGGACAGACGCCCTGGGAGCATTACCGTTCAGCAGCCCTGCAGATGCAAATAGTTTACTGTCTTGCGCCAAGCAGCCGCGGAGGCCCATTTTTGTGGGAAAAAGGATTACCCGATGGAATCCTTACCCGATTACCGGGACATACCTAACTAGGCCTACGTGACATAATCCGCTATTGTTCAGGCCCAGCCCAGTACCCACCGGCCAAACGCCGACGCTTTCCCGCGTGAGGCGTGCTGCCTGTCTGCCTCTGAGGCGTGAGCTGCCGGCGCATACAGCCGGGCTGGGTACAACCGGAATGGAAGCCGGATCTTCCACTGACGATGGCACCTCGTCGGGCAAGAACTCCACGTGACCTTCTTGCAGCCGAGATCCGCAGCTGCCAAGTGCCAGGCAGGCCATCCTCTCTCTCCCTCGCCTCATCGACCGCTAACCCGAGGGATGCCATGCCTGTGCGCGTGCGGTGCGGCTCCGCTCCTCGTGCTCCGCGCGCGACTCAGAGTTCCATCCAAACAGGCGCGAGTATAAGTGGAGCAGCGCGACGGCCTGGTCTCTTCACCACTGTTCCGTCGACGAGAAGTCTAGGTGCTAGGCAGGGAGCCCGCCGGCATGGCGGGGAGCGGGAGCTCACGTCGCGGCGTGCTGCTGTTCTTGCTCGTCGGCGTGGCTGCGGCTGGAGTGGCTTCGGCCATCCCTGACGGTGAGATTCCGCAAACTGCTATTCCAGTGCTGATTACGTGTTCTTAGATCTTTGCATATATAACATGCACATTGCCACATTGGTGAGAATTAATGAGCTTGCATTACTACATTTAAGTATTCAACTCTTGGCGTCATGCATATTCTTTTAGCCCTGCTTCACACACATTGGCATAAGTTTGTTGTCGTATCTCACTGTTTGCACTTACTATTCCCTTCATCTCACAAAGTACTACGAAACTCTACGCGTATCCTTTGACCCTTGTTTCCATGACCTATAACTAAAGTTTAGAAAGACCATTTTTAGTCAAGTGGTGTTTTGGTATATATATGGACTAAAAGGCAAAAGATCCTTTAGGCATAGACTCATGGTCATGGACACCTTTTAGTTGACATTAGCCTATATTTGCTAACTAATGAACTAAAGTCTAGTTATGTGTAGAACTAAGAATTAATTCCTTTTAGTTCACGTGTTTTGATACTTTGGCCTAAAGTTTAGATGGCTAAAGTTTGGTTGGTGGTATCCAAACAGGCTCTAGTCAAACTAGTTGAAGTGTAACCAAATTTATAAAAAAAAAAAATCATTAACACTTATGATTCTAAATAGTTATATTACGAAAATATATTCTATGACAACTCTAATGATACTTATTTAGTACCATAAATATATGTAGTGGTTTGTATGCATTAAGTCAAATTCAAGATAGTTTGGCTTTGTACTGTGTTAACTAGAGTTGCGTCTTTTTTTTTTCGGAGATAGTACTACAGACCTTCCTGTTCGTTTTGAAAAGAATTTTGCTGTCTGCCAATGTTCAGGCGCTGTCTAAATTGGGATAAATGAAATAACACTGTCAGAACTGGAGTATCACGGTACCCCTTTTAAAATAACGTTACATGATTCATTAGAGTTTCGTGGGAAGTGAGCGTTGACCCATGAGAATGAAATAATATAAGATACTATATCGATCACGCTATTGAGATAGATTGTGATGTGGTGTAGGATTAGGAAAGTGGTGCGCGCACATGCAGCTCCAAATTCCAATATATGCACATGTTTAATCACTTATTAGAGCAAAATAATAGTAGCTAAATTTTAGTACTAGCTAGTTCATCCAAACATGTAAACTAGTCCAGCCCCTTCAACTAACAATTAGTCCATCGCTCAGTAAATTAACCTATCTAGTGGGACTAAAGGTGTCTGTGGAACTTTTAGTAGAAAGATTCAAACACCGTCCAACAAAACTTTAGTTGGCTAATCTAATTTTTAGTTTGAACTAACGTGCTGTTTGGTTCGGCAATTTCTGTCCGTAACCGTTCACTCCGGTACTGCATCATGTAACAATTTGTTTGGTTGCGAAAATCCGGAATGGATAGCCGAGGGAAGCGTTACAAGCCAGTTAAAAACCTTTAGGAATCGATATCAACCCCCTCCACACCCCCCCACCCCACCCAAAAAAAAAACTTCCAGCATCATGCGGTTATTATTCCATGGAAGACTAACCAAACAAAAGCTGTTTTTATTGCAGTGTATGGATAGCACCGTTTTCTGATTACGTTGCCGTTGCCGCTGCTGGACGAAAACCAAACAGAGCACCTAACAATTAGTCCTCGGTAATCCAAACAGGCCCTAATCCCGTAATCATTATTTTTACCTGGATCCAAGCTGGCATCGTCAGTCTAGGAATCAGTTATTTAACTGTCTGGCAAATGGCAATGATTAATTAGTAATTTAGACTTTGACAGCCACACTTTAACTCTACTATGGACATGGAAGAACTGAGTCTTCTTGTCTGAGGCTCTGAGCTCAAAATTCACTGCCAGTGGGATTTGGACAGAGCAAATTAAAGATACGTAAACAAAATGAAGTTTGTTGCATGATAATTATTCAGAGTTAGTAATATAATAGGAGTATTACTATGCTATGTGCACATGTACTTCAGCACGTTTTTCCTGAAAGATGTGCATGCATATACTCATGCGTTACGGCGACGACTAACTTGTTCATCCCGGGTGGCCAGGGCTACTACCAAACGGTAACTTCGAGCAAGGTCCGGACAAGTCCCACATGAACGGGACCAGGGTGATTGGTCAAAACTCCATACCCTGCTGGGAGACCTCAGGGTTCGTGGAGTACATCGAGCCCGGGCAGCGGCAGAACGACATGGTACTGGTGGTGCCTGAGGGCGCACGGGCCGTGCGGCTGGGCAACGACGCGAGCATCCGGCAGCAGCTTACAAGCCTGACACGGCGCATGTCCTACTCCATCACCTTCAGCGCGGCGCGCACCTGCGCCCACAGGCCGAGCAGCTGAACGTGCCCGTCGCCCCGGAGTCCGGCGACCTCCCCATCCAGACCGTGTACACCAGCAGCGGGTGGGACTCCTACTCCTACGCCTTCAAGGCCAGGCACACCACCGCGTGGCTCACCATCCACAACCCCGGCGCCGAGGAGGACCCGGCGTGCGGCCCCATCATCGATTCCGTTGCCATCAAGGCCCACCACCCTCCCACTCGCGCCAAGGGTATCATTTATCTTCTTCTATCTACTTAATGAAATATATGTGAAGTCGTGTTCTCGAAAAAAAAAGGATTCTGAAGGTTCCACTTAACAAAAACAGATTGTGAGGATTGTTTCAACTAACTTGCTGTCTGATCTCTCGTGCATTGCAGATAATATGCTGAAGAACGGAGACTTCGAGGAGGGCCCGTACATGTTCCCGGACTCGCCATGGGGCGTGCTGGTGCCGCCGATGGACGAGGACGACGTGTCTCCGCTGCCGGGGTGGATGGTCATGTCGGACACCAAGGCCGTCAAGTACCTCGACGCATGGCGCGTACGCCGTGGAGCTGGTGGCCGGCACGGAGGCCGCGCTGGTGCAGGAGGTGCGGACCAAGCCCGGGCGGTCGTACAAGCTGTCCTTCTCCGTCGGGGACGCGGCCAACGGGTGCGCGACCACCCTGCTCGTGGACGCGTACGCGGCGCTGGGCAGGCTGCCGGTCTCGTACGAGTCCCACGGCAGGGGCGGGTCCGTGCGCAACGAGCTCGAGTTCTCGGCGGTGGCGAACCTCACCCGCGTGGTCTTCCAGAGCATGGGCCACTACGTGAAGCCCGACGGGACGCTCTGTGGGCCGGTCGTGAACGACATCTCCCTCGTCAGCCTGCCCAAACACGCTGCCCGCCGGTTGCTCATGTAGGGACACACTTTGCTTTGCAGACTGAAAGACTGGGCCAGCGCCAGACAGGAATCGCAGCCCCCACACGTCCAAAATCGAACGTCTAGCTCTTCTAGATCCAAGCATTTTTGCCTAAGCAAACCCGTAGTCCGCCGCGTGGAACCATGTACCGGCTTCATTAGGGAAAACTCAAAAGCATGCAACGAAAAACGGAATGTTTCATTGTTCATTTTTGTTTACTTTCATCACTACTAGAGTTGTTCTATGTGCAATTGCAACCAACAACTGCACTGGTGCGTTATGGTCTTTGTATCTGACCAATAACTAGATTATAAGGGTTCATATACACGTGAGTACTTCTTTTCTATGAACGCACGTACATACGTACTCTAATAAACACTGCCCAGAGAATGAGCCGGTTTTCAAATCAAATTGATAAATGCATCACAATGGGACCGGGTTTAAAGTTGGTGCACGGTTTTAAATTGCTCTGATTTAACTTATTTTATGAACAAATAGACTTGCCTGATTTTGAATGAAAATCAATTTTTGGCTCAGCTCATTAAACAACATGGCATCTTATGATAAAATAAGAGTTAATCACTTTCAAATACAGCTCGAAAAAAGTTGAACTAGCTCGTTATACACTCCACCATAGGAGCCTAAGAATAGCATTGAGTGTAAAATTAGCAAAAAAAAATAAAATCTTAAGATAAAATTGAAAACCCACCTTTACGGAATTGACCCAGAAACACCAACGCACCTTTGCAAGCATTGTGTTTTCTCAAAACAGGTTGGGTCCTTCCTAGTGGCTTGGTTTACCAGTGATTGACACAGTTAGAACGGCAGGATCACTCCACAATTACTGGCGTAAGTGTCGCGCTAAGATCAACTGAGGCCAAAGGAAAATATTTGATGGCGTTATGATTTATTTTTGGTGGAATGTGTCGAAGGAGCGGAATAGAAGAATTTTTCAGAACAAAACGTTGCATCCAAGACAAGTGGCTCCGCTCTGCAAGGAAGATTTAGAGCAATATCAGTTGGCGACAAAACTAATGTGGAAGTCGAATAATTGTAGGTTTTGTTTCTTATTTCTGTCTGGCTGGGAGTTGATTTCTTTTGTTTCCGATGATTGAGTGTAGGGTTTTCGGCCCTTAGTGTTTTTCCTGCTGTGTAACTAGTTGGGTGGGCGGCCTGCGTGCGGAAGTGGCGGTGAGTTTAGCGTCCCGTTTTGTTTTGTAATACTGTTTTTCTTTTCCTTCGTCTAATAAAACTCCTGTAAATGTCTCGCCATTTTTTCTAAAAAAATAAAATTGAATAAAAAAAATGTCTATGCCACATCCAGGGCTCCACCACACTGTTGCCCGCCATGTAAGGGCTTTGCTCGTTTCACCAACGCTACCACTTGTGCTAAGATCTCTCGCCTCATCTCAATACCAACAGATGCGTGGTCTTCTCCGCATTTCGTGCCCCTGCGCGAGGCTCGCGCTAGCTCTATAAGTAGAGTCACACGAGGCTCGGCGCGGCCCGGCCTTGCTCCTGAGACTGTTCCATCGAGCTATCAGCTCGAGAGCTCAGTTCGCGTCCCCGAAGAGTTGGGAGGCATGGAGCTCATGAGAAGAGAACCTCAGTCAAGCATGGCGGGCGGCACGGGGTCACGTTGCCCTGTGCTGCTGCTTTTGCTCGTCAGTGTGGCTGCTCGAGTGGCTTCAGGCATCGTCACCGACGGTGAGATCTAGCAAACTGGCTTACTCCAATGTTGATTGCTTGCATATCGTTAGATCCTAGTATGACGATTTGCCCATAAGTTACCGGTGATATAATTCACATAAACAGCTGCTGAGTGCTGAGCTTGCTTCCTTTTGTTCTTGCTATTTTCAGTTTCGTCTAGCAATGTCCAGGTGCTGTTTAAATTGGCCGAAATCAAACAATTCGATGGTAGCAAGAACACTCGCAATATTTCTAATTTCAGAACAAGCTGTAGTTAGTTTCAGAGTTCTCAATCTGAACTAGTGATATGATCAGTTTGACGACGATTAAATAGTGATGTGGAGTAATAAAGCTCAGCCTTAAAATCCGAACAAAATCTACAACATACCATTTCACCAGCTGGCCTGGCCCCCAGCACCCTTGAGTGTATGTTAATTTGTTGTCTGAAGATAGATAGAAGAACAACCTGAACAGACCAAAACGTATCTGTAATGTAAATATTGCTTCACAATTTCATGTCTGAAGTACCACATTGTGCAATTGTGTTCAGGCCTATTACCAAATGGCAATTTTGAGCTTGGGCCGGTCAAGTCAGATCTGAACGGCACCAGGGTGATGGGTGAAAACTCCATACCGAACTGGGAGATCTCAGGGTTCGTGGAGTACATCGGGTCCGGGCAGACGCAGGACGACATGATCCTCCCAGTGCCGGAAGGCGCATACGCCGTGCGTCTGGGCAACGACGCAACCATCCGGCAGAAGCTAAGCGTGACTCGGAAGACGACCTACTCCATCACCTTCTGCGCGGCGCGCACCTGCGCCCATGCCGAGCGGCTCAACGTGTCCGTCGCCGCGGAGTCCGGCGTGCTCCCCATCCAGACCGTGTACACCAGCACCGGGTGGGACTCCTACTCCTACGCCTTCAGAGCCAGGCACAGCACCGCGTGGCTCACCATCCACAACCCTGGCCACGAGGACGACCCGGCGTGCGGCCCCCTCATCGACTCCGTTGCCATCAAGGCCCTCAACCCTCCTCGTCTCACCAAGGGTTCGTGACATCCCGAAGGTTCCAAAGAATTGTTCTGTTTCGGAAAGGCAAACGTTTAACACATGGCAGCATGCAGGTAACATGCTGAGGAACGGAGACTTCGAGGAGGGCCCGTTCATCTTCCGGGACACGGCGTGGGGCGTGCTGGTGCCGCCGATGGACGAGGACGACGTGTCCCCGCTGCCGGGGTGGACGGTCATGTCGGACACGAAAGCGGTCAAGTACGTGGACGCGGCGCACCACGCGGTGCCGCGCGGCGCGCGCGCCGTGGAGCTGGTGGCCGGCAGGGAGGCCGCGCTGGTGCAGGAGGCGCGCGGCACCGTGCCCGGGCGGCGCTACCGCCTGTCGTTCTCGGTCGGGGACGCGGGCAACGGGTGCGAGGGGTCCATGGCCGTGGAGGCGTACGCGGCGCGGGAGACGGTGAGGGCGACGTACGAGTCCCGGGGAAACGGCAGCGGGAGCAGCAAGCGCGCCGCGGTCGAGTTCACGGCGATCGCGAACCTCACGCGCGTGGTGTTCCAGAGCTACAACCACCACATGAAGCCCGACGGCACGCTCTGCGGGTCCGTCGTGGACGTCTCCCTCGTCGGCCTGCGCAAGCACGCCGCGCGCCGGCTATTCTTGTCGGCCCCGTTAGGGCTCGCTAAAACTTAGCTGAATTGGCTGAAAAACACTATTATTGATGAATTGTTGGGAGAGAAAAACATTATTTTAACTAAAAAAACAAACTGAATAGTGCGGATTATAAGGTAAGCGGGACCGTTGCAGTCTGCTGTGCCGTACGGCCGTACCTGCCTGTGTGTGCTCATCGGCCGGTGGTTGATGTGTTTGTAGTGGTAGTCCCGTACGTACATGTGTACGGCCAGTAACTGTACTCTGTACCTGCAATGGCAAAGCAGTTGTAGAATGATTTTGATATATAAGTACTATTCGATAATCAGATGAGATTTATACAACACTATGATGGCATGATGCTGTCAATTGTTATACATGCCTTTGACCAACGATTGTGCTGGGTAGGTAGAGGAACGGATCTCCGATTCAGATGCACTACCTGTAATCACACAGTGTCGCTGTTGCCCAAGGCTTTGACTTTGCTGTTCTTTCCTGTGGACAGACAGAGTTTGCCTTTGAAAAATACAGTACTTTGGCCGGTGGGGAGCATCTGGCTGAGAACCTGAGATTCCATTCCGGAGGCACGGCCATTGCGTTGGATGGCACAGCGGCCGTGCGGATCGAAACGCCTCAAAAGGAATCTTCTTCGCGCTGCGTTGGCCATGCGAGCGCGAAACAGAGTGCCACGTGACCGCGCACAGGGACTGTCCCCAGGAAGCAGCAGCAGCAGGTCCCAACTCCCAACCCGAGTTGGCGAGTTGAGTTGCCGATCTCGAGAGCGTGAGATGCCATCTGCTACTGCTAGCTGCTCAGCACCAGCGGGCGCGTCTCGCGGCGACACGTCCGTCCCCGGATTACGCAAGGTCAACAGACCCGCAAAACCCCAATACGCGCCACCTCTTATATAAGCTGCGGCTTACTGGACGGCCGTGAGCGCCGACTGCATATCAGAGCTCCTGATTTTGTTTTGCAGCTCACAAGGCGGTAGCTACTAGCTATCGCTTGTATGTTACACAAGGTTCCAGGGGCCACCAGGGCTACGACCAAAAACGAGGGTAGCTCCTGAGAACGGAGCCCACCACGATGGTGAAGAGCACGCGATCCGTGGCGTTCGTCATCCTCATCGGCGTGGCCGCTCGAGCGGTTTTTGCAGTCACCGACGGTGAGAACTCGCAAGTCGCAACCAGTGTACTACTGTTTTGTTTTTGGCGCATCCACTCTGGCTGGTACTAATGTTTAATAATGATTCGTGGTTTCCAAATACACCCTTCACCGTCCCGTATTCTACGTGTCTACATACTACATTTTCCTCGGCTAGCATATTCTTTTCCTGGATTTTTTTTTGAGAATTACACGGTAGCTCACAACGCACGCATACTCACCTCTATGAATATAGATACGTAAACCCTACCCCTATGAGCATCTCCGAATGATTGAGCCAGCAGATCTCGAGATTCATAAAGTCACCACAGGCGCCTCGCTGTCGACGAGGACGTCGCCTACCACTGAAAGTATAGTGCTGTTAAATCCTGGAATAAATCCAGGAAAATACGAGCACTCGTGGCAAGTCGATGACTTGAACCCGGGTGAGCAGGTTCCACCACAAGAGACCCGACCAACTGATCTATGATCTAATACCGTAAGTAAGGGCAGTTTGAGAGAGCCTCGTTAAATCAACTACTCAGAATAGGAGGCATGTATCAAGTTCGAACCCCCTAATTCGAACTTGTGTAACTATTTCTTCTTTTCACAAAAGAAATACCTTAGTTACTCCGAGGTTGGATCTAGTTTTCTTTCAGTGCTATCTGAGTGGTTGCTCTTATATTCTCATTGTTTAGTTTAGTACTTTAGTCCAATGTTTACTATATCCCCACCTAGTTTTGTTTTGTTAGTTGCATGGTACTTCCTAGCTCCCCGAAATAATAAGCATATTTTATGATGGGAAAAGTCAAATTCTATAAAGTTTGATCAACATTTATTTATAGATTATGTAAAACTCTAAAGCTCGCCTCAACAGATTTATATTCAAAATGCCCCCGTGACCAGAATTCGAATCCTTGGTCAGACGAATTTCTGGTTGGCGGTGTGAAAAAATCACCCTCGCATGTCCCGCGTTCCCAAAGCACAGGTAAAATGGACCGGCCCTCTCACCGGGTAACAGGCCCCTATGTGCGGACGGCGCATGGGGTTCGGATTTTTTCTCAAGCTGGGTGAGAAGTCCTCTACCTTAAGCTAAAATAGCTCGGGGGTGTCTACCCCGCAGCCCGAGTTTTTTAGTTAATGGCAATATTATCATAAGTGTAGTTTCTATAATTTTTTATTATCAAAATACGCCTATTACTTTGGGATGGAGAAAGTAATATGGTATCATAATATGCTAAGGGTGGTTCTAACCCAGAAACTATTTGTAGACACTATATAAATCATATTTTTAAATGATGGTTTCTTTAAAATGATTTTTTGTCTAATCATGTGTCTTCTCTCTCCTATCACCTACCTATCATATCTTTTTATATCTTAGTTCTTGTGTAGACATAGTTTCTTGTATAAGAAACAATTTACTCCTCTCTCTCTCTCTCTCTCTCTCTCTCTCTCTTAGTTCCAATGTCTTATCACCATTTTGCTTAGTTGACACTCTAATTGATGACTGGTTGGGACTGCCCTATACAATGTAGGACCTAATTTTTGTCTTCCTCTCTCTTGATTATCTGATGTCTTATTACCCGATTGAAACAAACTTGGGTGATCTTTAGGCGCGAGGTTTGGAATGTAGAAATTTTCTCTATTCCTGTATTTTTCTTGTGAAATTGAAGTGGTTGATGTGAAATTCCTATGTTCCAAATGGGCCATTAGTGTTAGAATTAATTAGGTTCATGAGTTAGGATGGTGGAGGTCAAATAATGCTGATAAAATCACGCCGAAGTTGTTGGGCCATAGTTCTTCTAGACGGTTCTCCAAAGTCTAAGGCAAGCTGCAATTGCGTGGTGGCAGTGGACTGAGTGCCTGAGTTCATCCGGGGGAAGTGCAACATTTGTTTCTGCACGTAGAATATTTTCCACTTGCGACTTAGTGGTAGAACACTTTTCTTGGCCAGGAACATCCGTGAAGAGAAAAAAAAACAAATTCTATAAGACAAAAAATATTGGGTGTGCAACAGGAAGCCCTCGTAAATATTCTCGATTGAGGCTTATCGTGAGGTAGGAGGGAATAAGGTTATCGTTAATTTGTTATTATCTTCCGGATCGGGTAGGTGATGGGCGTTGGATTTTGGTCCGATGACCGAGTCGTCTGAAACGCCGAAATGCTCACCGATTACTCTGACTTGTACGGAGTGCATGTCTCTCCAGTTCTGACAATTTGATTTGGATCAACCTGGCGTGCAGGCCTGCTACCAAACGGGCATTTTGAGCAAGGACCAGCCAAGTCGGAGCTGAACGGCACCAGGGTGCTAGGCCCCTACTCCATACCGCACTGGGCAATCTCAGGGTTCGTGGAGTACATCGAGTCCGGCCAGAAACAGGACGACATGCTCCTCCAGGTTCCGGAAGGCGAGCGCGCCGTGCGGCTGGGCAACGACGCCACCATCCAGCAGCAGCTGGCAGTGACCCGGCACACGTACTACTCCATCACCTTCTCCGCGTCGCGCACCTGCGCCCAGGCCGAGAGGCTGAACGTGTCGGTCACCCCGGGCCCGCAGTCCGGCGTTCTCCCCATCCAGACCGTGTACACCAGTAGCGGCTGGGACTCCTACTCCTGGGCCTTCAAGGCCAAGCACAGCACCGTGTGGATCTCCATCCACAACCCCGGCCACGAGGACGACCCGGCGTGCGGCCCCCTCATCGACCGCGTCGCCGTCAAGACCCTCCGCTCTCCCCATCACGTCAAGAGTAAGACCACCGATTGCTCATGCCTTTGATGAACTTCTTGCAAGAAAGAAATTAGCACTCACACTTGAATTACGGCATGGATATGATCTTACTGAAGCGGCTGACAACATGATGAGGAACGGGGACTTCGAGGACGGGCCGTACATCTTCGGGGACACGCCGTGGGGCGTGCTGGTTCCGCCGATCACGGAGGACGAGCACTCGCCGCTGCCGGGGTGGATGATCATGTCGGACACGAAGGTCGTCAAGTACGTGGACGCGCCGCACCACGCGGTGCCGTGCGGCGCGGGCGCCGTGGAGCTGGTCGCCGGCAGGGAGTGCGCGCTGGTGCAGGAGGTGCGCACCGTGCCCCGCCGGTCGTACAAGCTGTCCTTCGCCGTCGGGGACGCGGCCACCGGGTGCCAGGGGTACCTGGCCGTGGAGGCGTACGCGGGGCGCGCGACGCTGAATGTGCCGTACGAATCCCGCGGCACGGGCGGGTACAAGCGCGCCGAGCTCGAGTTCGTGGCGAGCGACAATCTGACGCGCGTGGTGTTCCAGAGCGCGAACCACTACGTGAAGTCGGACGCGACGCTCTGCGGCCCCGTCGTCGATGACGTTCGGCTCGTCCCCGTGCACGCCCACATGCACGCTGCCCGCCGGCTGCGTAGGTAGAGGACCAGCTCCACCGAAGAGTAGCTTCACCGTGGATCTACGGTCTCAACATAGAACTGACAAGCCTTTTTGGCTTGCAGCGCAGTTGTGCTAAATGCTGGGAAGTCGACTGTGATGGAAATTCTATGAGCATCAAGATTTGCAGAGGTAGAGGGAAAGACGGACTATGAAAAGACATTTATAGATGTGGGTATCTAATGACTCCTGAGGCCTGTCTCTGGAAGTGAAAAATAAAACAAATCAGCAAAAATCCATCGGCTACTTCTCCCAGGCTGCTTCCCCTGGCAGGGGCTTTTCTACCACCCGCGCCAACAGGGCGACGCCTCCTCGATGCGTAAGTCCATGCCTACAAGGAGGATGGACATTGTATATATCATCATTGGCTCCGTCTATAGCTTTTCAGCTTCATCGACTCTGCGTGCGGAGACACAAATCAACGACTGAGGTATGGAGTTCTCAGAGAGAGTTTCATTTCTCACCCTGCGATTGAACATTTGACGACACATACGTTGGTTGTGAGCCTGAGCTAGCCGACGAGCAGCATCACCCACAAGGGCCAACGGTGGATTTCGCATCAGGCCTCGCATGCGGCTCTAGTGTGGGTCGCGAGCAAGTCCGAATTAGACGAGGATGATAGCGTGGATGCCCCAACGAGGCAACGATGCTAAGAAACGAGGAGATATTTGTCTCCCACATAGACGCCACCACGACTTCGAGCTCGCCCTAATCAAATCCGAAAGTGAAAAAGGGGTAGAAAAAGTAGGGATGGAAATGGGTCGGGTCGACCCATTGGGTAGTTGACCTGACCTACAAAAAAAAAATAAGGCCAATTGATCATAGGGGCCGGCCCTAAATTCCAAAATGGGTCAATAGGGCCGGAACCTATCGACCCAATGGATACCATGGGTTGATCCACTCGTCACATTAATAATCTTTCTTTAGTTTATTGGTGTTCTTTATTTTTTGAATAAATATGATTGGTCATAACTTGTAAGATTGTATGTGCTTGGAAGTACATGTTTCACTTGCAAACTCATTTAATTTGATGCATTGCTAATAATATTAATATACTATTATGATATTTTTTAATCTTGTATCTTATCTTCTCTAAAAGTGTTGATAGTATTCATGGTTTATGATTGTAGAAAAAATCTAGGTCGACCGATACTACCTAGTGAGCCATCGGGACCATAATATCTAGGGGAAATGGGTCAACCTGGATCGGCCCAATCCCATCTTGAAGAAAAAGGAACGTGGCATTTACATTTTCAGGCATGTGTCATGCCTTTACGAACTTCGTCGTACACTGTACTTGCCCACTGGGCCGGATGTCACATGTCACTGCAGCCACACAACTCATATATCTGAGCCACTAAATTAGTCAACATGTCCTTTTTTTTTTGTATCGAGCTGCACAGATAAATATACTGCATCTTCATTTCTCACTTCAGATTAAACCTCGATTGGATCCCCCACGTTGTATACGTCTCATGTTGCTAGTTGATCGAGTTCACAAATGATCTAATTGAACTACAGATCAACAACGGGAAAGTTTCAGTCACTACTACAAAAACAATTTGCAGCGGCGTCTCTCTTTCTTTGTAAATGGTTGCCAAATAAGCCGCCCTTACAAATAGATTTATAGGGGCGGCCGGTGTTATCAGTCGCCCATTACAAATGGCCCGATTTGTAGGGGCGGCTCTATATCCAGCCGCCCCTACAAATCAGATTTATAGAGGCGGCTCAATATTGAACAACCCATACAAATAGACACCAAGTATTAAAAATTAAGCACTAAAATTCAAATTTTATAAACGACATCGGATGAAGAAACAACTAAAATGAAAGTTGTAGATCTTGAAAAGTTATGAAACTTTGTAGTTGACAACTTTTTTATTTGAAATCATCTTGTCAAGGAAAACTATGTTTGAATTTCTAAAAATTTGAAATTTTCATTTTTTAAACGACCTCGGATGGACAAACAGTAAAAATGAAAGTTGTAGATCTTGAAAAGTTATAAAACTTTATATTTGATAACTTTCTCATTTGAAATCATCTTGTCATGGAAAACTACGTTCGAATTTCTCAAATTTGAAATTCAAATTTTATAAGTGACCTCGGATAGAGAAACTACCAAAATGAAAGTTGTAGATCTCAAAAAGTTATAAAACTTTGTAGTTGACAACTTTTTCATTTGAATTAGTTTAGGGCTTCAAACGATCAATTTATGCTCAGTTTTGTATAATATGTGGGAAAGCAAAATTGATTATAGATACAAGTGATCATGAGGTGCAGTGGTAGAGAAGTTTGTGCGCGAGGGAGAGGTTGCGGGTTCGAATCCCGACCGACACAATGTGTGCAAAAATCATGAAAAAAATGCTAGAACCATAGAGTGGGTGTGTGTCAAGATGGCAGCAACGTGCATACCACTGATGGGTAGTGCCAGCCGTGTGCAATGAGATCAAAATCTTACTCGTCAAGTTACCAGTACTTACCCACAAAGTGTAGAAAAATTCATTCCATACTTTTGACGGGTAATTCTTACCGACGGGTAATTCTTACCGACAATATACCCGAGTTCACACACCAAAATATAATAGCTTCCAAAGAAACAAATCAATAATAGAGCAAAGAAAATGAAATATGGGCATGGTAGAGTGGAGTGAGGATGAGGATTAGGGTTTGAGGGAGTTCTGAATATATATACTCATATGCTTATATGGGTCAAATATGGGCTATATGCTTATATGGGCTAAAATTGCAGAGGTTGGATATTATTTATGCGGGTTTTTTTTTACCCGTGGGTATGCGGGTATGGGTACTATACACCCACACCCGTACCCGCATACCTGATGGGTACAAGAATTCGTCCATTAACATACCCGCGGGTGTAAAATGTCTTTCATACCCGCCTCTTTATCGGGTAAAACCCATCGGGTACTCGGGTTTCGGGTACCTGTTGCCATCTTGAGGTGTGTGGCTGCCATGGGCGGATACAGAGGGTATTCCCCGTATTCCCAGGAATACCCAACTATTTTAGCACACTTCTATGTATATATGTGTATATACTTGTATATGTATATGTATAATGCCATATTTTGTAGTATTTTCACTCATTGAAGCCTAAAACAGTAAAAAAACAGCCTCTCAAATTGGCTCATATTTTGTAGTATTTTCACTCATTGCAGTTAAAAACAACTGATTTTTTTTATTGACGTGGAAGTAGGAATACCCAAGTTTGGAATCCTGGCTCCGCCAGGCTGCCGTTGGGGACCTCCTCGGATTAAAAAAAAAAGCTATTTTTTGCCTATTTTTCGTGATTTCTGAAAATTGATTTGTAGGGCCAGCTTAATATACAGCCGCCCCCAGCCGCCTCTACAAATCGATTTGTAGGGGCGGTTCCTAGACCGCCCCTACAAATGCATGATTTGTAGAGGCGCTTGGGTAGGGGTGGTTGGGCAAACCACCTCTACAGAGCCTCTAGAGCCGTCCCTATAAATATTATTTGACGTAGTGAGTTAGATTCTTTTACAAGGGTGTTTCACCTAGAATCTGCTAGTTAAGGTTACAACATGGTGCAGTTTTTATATGGTTCCTCTTTTTTCTACTACTTAGGCGCGCACAACATTCTTATGTCAATAGCATCATCACATAGGTGCGTGACAGCGTGAGTCATCCATCTCATATTAGATTTCAAGTGGTGATGTGGGTTCGATAATGCTCTCACATGGGCGTTTGTCCGTCCGGACGCCGCGCGCCACACTTCGACGCTTCCGTCCATGCTGCTCGCTCTCGCCTATGACGCTGTCTCCCCCACGACAGTTGCGCTCCCTCCCGTCGCGCGCTCGGTCCGCGCGGATTCGACCTCGACGTCGCGCGGCCTGCTCGTCGCGTGGCCCGCCCGCCGCGGTCATCCCTCGCTGTGCCCCATCCCGCACGCTGCCTTTGCTCTCCTCATCTCTCGCTCCCTATCTTGCGTCCGCTAACAGCAGAGCACCTCCCTAGCCTCTTCCCCACCCCCAACGGCGGCGCCAGGATGCTGATGGCTGCTGGACGCACGTGCTGAGGTGTCTCGGGTCGTCCCCGGCCGAGCCTAGGGCACCCACGAGCGTAGCCAGATGCTGGTGGTGATCGCGCGCTGCCGCTGGCTCCCACCCAGACAGCCGAAATCGACCGGCCGAGGCCTCCTCTCCCTTATATTGCAAATGCATATTTCAAATGTTTCAAACATTTCAAAGGTATGTTGCAATTGTTTTATATGGATGTTGCAAAAGTAGATCGGGGATGTTTGCACATGTTGCATATGTCGCAAGTGTTTTAGAGGCATATTGCAAGTGTTTGTTCAAAATATTTCATTTGTTCTAGATGTATGTTGCAAGCATTCTGATCTGAATGTTGCATTTATTTCACATATATGTTAGAACAGTATGTTCCAAATATTTCAGCTCTTTCAGCCTTATGTTGCAGTAAGTATTTTTATGTTGCAAGTTGCAAGTGTTTAATCTAGATGTTGCATATGTTTCACACATATGTTGCATGTGTATGTTCTAAATGTTTCATATCCTTCATACGTATGTTGCATTCAAGTGTTTTCATGTCGCAAGTGTTTCTCATGTTTCAGAGATACGTTCAGAGAGTTATGGGGGCTTGGCCTGGGCGCCAAAGGATGGGGCGCGCTGCGCCCCGGGGCTGCAGATGGGGCGCACAGCACGCCGGGGGCTGTGGACGGGCGCGTTGTGGGAAGGCGAGCCGCGCTGAGGGAAGGCTGGGGCGAGTCACTCGTATCGTACGGGTGGAGAGCTGCGTCCGAACGCACTGATAGGGCTGGACATCCAGGCACCAGTGCCTCCGGCACGTATGCAAACAGTTCTGCACACAATATAACGTCACCCATGACCCTAGTGAATTGAAGTGTTCCATCCATATATATCTTCTTCTTTCGACACACGAAGTGCCCCTGCTCATCATATCGTGAAAAAGGAGTGTACTGTACTATCAGCTGATTTTTGCAACGTGGGTTATCCTAATTGAACCATATATATCCCAATTATGCTTGTATGAATTATCAACTAGATAAAGTCAGTGGACTGTACATATTCCTTAGAAAACAGTATGTTTCTTATTCTTAATGACAATTGTAAATTTGCCTGATGTGCAACATTAAGTTTCAATTCTAGTGAAGAAAAAGAAAATCATGATGCATGAACTTTTTTTTTCAATCACGTAAAATGATTGCACGTCTTTGTATTAAGATAGAATCATGCATGAACTTTTGAGAGTGCACCAAAATTGTTGCCAATAATAAGAAAAATAGAACTCCTCCAATTTATTTCCATGAAATGTTACACCAGAAAAGCAATATATTGTGCCATTATATTATATAAGCTATGATTCACGCTGTGATTGCTCCCCTTTATTGTTGATTTGATCATAGACACACACTGCACAAAGTGCAGAGTGCTGGAAGCAAGTACACATACTTGAGGATGAACAACACATCACGGGTCCAATGCAAGAAAAGCACGCCGGGAAGAGAATAAATTAAAATATTAAATACTCATGAGTCATCATGAGGTTTTCTCCTGACTAAGCGTGAAACAGAGCTAGTCGGAAGAATACTGTCGTGGGCAACGTACGTACGTGCATGCAGCAGGAGCTGGCTCGATGATGTGTAGAGACCGAACCTCTTCAGTGCCCAGGGCCTCCAGGGCTCGGCCCTTGGGTGAGCTGCGCTACCCACGCCATGATCAGCGACCTCGCCCTCTCATGCAGCATGCGGTGGCCGGCGGCGTACTGCCCCTCCGGCAGCCGCCTGGCCGCCTCCACGGAAGTAGTAAGTACAGTGGAGGAGAGAGCTACGGCGAGGAGCAAAACGGTCATGAGGATCCCTGCTCTGAACTCGGACATCTTGGGCGAGAGCGAGGTTGATGAAGATGCCCTACACTTTCTTCTTCTAAAGACCAGTCAGTCAGTGCTACTAGCTTTTTGCAGTAAGCTACGTAGCCACAAAACTAACAGGAGTTTGGTGTGGGTGGTTAGATGGCTTCTGTGTGGCAATGGCATGCCTGTATATATAAGCCCGTTGCACGAGAGAATTAGTTTGTCTGGCATGTTCGTGTCAGTTTAAAATGCATTTCGTTCTCCCCTAGCTACTGCGCTACGCCTCCATCCTCCAAGCGTATTGAACTGCATTGCTTGCATAAAACGAATCTTTGATCTGTGAGTTTGTCTTAATTGCGGTAGGAAAAACGAGGCTGATCGCTCGTCTTTTCACGCGCGCGCGGACAGTGGGCAGTTTGCACTAGCTAGCTAGTAACTAGCTATATATAGAGCATGCAGTTTTTGTTGTAGCAGCTGGGGTTCGGAAGTGGACAGCTTGCCCTAGCTTGATTTCGCTGGCATTATGGGAAGGACGACGATCATGTGAGCCATGCAAGGTTAAACTGTTCTTATGTTCTTATAAACAACTAGATACTACATATGTTGTCAGAAAAAAAAACTAGATACTACATATGTGAAAGATCTAATTATTATCTGAGCTAGAGTCACTAATATAATTTGGGGAAGATGTAGTGTAGTGTAGTGTAGATCGGTAATTTATTTTGTGATAGGGGATATATGAACATTTTGATAGCTATGTATCTTTTCCCCCCGCTATATATTGTATTCAATATATATAAACAGCCATTATCTCCAAGAAAAACTAGTTGTCTTGGAATTTAAGGATATATACACTCTCCCATTTTAAATTATAAGACGTTTTAGCTTTTTTATATTGTATTCAATATATATAAACAGGCATTATCTCCAAGAAAAACTAGTTGTCTTGGAATTTAAGGATATATACATTCTCCCCATTTTAAATTATAAGACGTTTTAGCTTTTTTTTAATATATTGTTTTTACTATACATCTAGATACAATATATATCTACATATATAGCAAAATCTAAATATCTAGAAAAGTTAAAACGTCTTATAATTTAGAATGAAGAAAGTACTATGTATACTTCGGCCTCATCGACACAATACAACCCTTTCATTCTTGCTCAAAAAAAGAAGAAAGAAAAATAGCCCCATTTTTCCACACAATTAATGACGCGGTGCTTTTTTATTTCCACTAAATCAATGTAACTTCTTTTTATTTTGTAAAAATTCTAACAAGTTTCATGGTACATTTTGGAAGACAAATGCATCTGGGGGCTTTGGTTCATGGTTGGCCAACGCAAAGCTCCCCCCCCTGCAGAGGCAGCAAGAGAATCCAGAGGTTTGCCGGATCAATTTTTCAGCTCCTCGCATCACATGACCATGCATGGTTTGCCGGATCCGGAAGAGTACACACGATCGAGACTCATCACGCGGTCGCATTTAGAGCTCTCGGGAATTTAGGTGGTGATGGAAACTGCGTCCGGACGCCTCCCCTGCCATTGTTTACCTCCCCCGACGCGCACCGTCGTGGGGTGTTGGGTTTCAGGGCCGGGCGGGCGGGCAGCGCCAAGCACAAGAGCCCGCAATCTCGCGCCTCCTGCCGCTGAATACCATGGCGATGGAGTACCGGAACTAACCGGCCTACTCATATATCTATGGCCTCCTCCATCTCCAGCCATTGACCCTACGCATTTCTCTATGGGCCACATGCCGGTCGGTGGTCGACTGCTTGAGAAGAGAAGCCTTTCAACGTGCAACGCCTGTACTAACTGCTCTAACTACCTGCCACTTGCAGCATGGACCATGGAGCCACATCAATACTAGTTCTTGTTTTCATTCCTTTTTTTTTCAGACCAAGTAGGAAACATGCGTAACTGTCCCGGCCCATAAAGAGCCAGGTACAGTAGGCCTTCTCGGCCGGCCCACAACAGAAATCAGCCCAACGTACCAACCGAAGCCCAGTTTGTTCGGATAGAAGTAGGGCCCTGTTAGGATGTCCTACTGTACACCTTAAAATAGTTATTACTCCTACACATGTAAGTTGTTGCGCGATTCTCAAAAAAATAAAAAGAATTGTTGTGAACAAGAAAACTAGGTGTGGGGTCGCTCCTGCCTCCCACCCTCGCTTGAGTCTGGCAAGGGGAGGACAAGGGTTTCCCACAGGAGCTAAGTAAGATGCAAACCGAAGGTAATCCAAGGGAAAATGTGGAATAAAATGCGGATTAATTGCTCATTAAATTGCCCCAAAAACTCACTCTTGTTCAAACAGTGGCGTCCTAGGATATTTATAGAGAATCCCTAGGACGGTAGCAAAATTACATTAGGGTTGTCATAGCGCCCCCGGTTGTCAGTACATTGTCTTAGGGTAGAGGGGTAACTTCCCATACCCTAGCCAATTACCCCCCCAACGTCGACCACTTACCGCCAGCGACCCTGGCGTCTTGAGCGTCTTTGGTTCCAGTTGTCGCGTGGCTCGCCGAGGGTTCTCCGGGACTCCGTTGGCTCTGCATTCTCCCATCAAGCGTCACCATCGCCTCGTCCTTGTTTTCCGCGGGCCCTAAAAGAACATGTCGTAGGAAGACCTTCACTTGCGAGGGGTCAGTGCGGCCGTGAAGACACAGCGGGGGTTCATGAACGGCCAAACGCCAGTCGGGGTGGCCTGTTTGGGGCGCCTCCCCCCAACACTAGGAAGTTATTATTACCAACTTGTAAAACTGTTTCTCAAAAAAAAATCAACTTGTAAAACTTTGTTTAGGCACCTGGTGAGAAACCATTGTATGTAGAGACCTGATGGCTGATACTCCCTTCATCCCATAGAGAAGACGATATGGGATGTGTAGAGGTCAAACTTTCTCAACTTTAACTAGGTTTGTAGAAAATATGTGCAACATTTAAATCTCCAAATAAGTTTATTATAAAAGTATATTCAACGATCTATCTAATGATAATAATTATATATTATAAATATTAATATTCTTTTATATATAATTGATCAAAGTTAAAAAAATTGACTTCTCAAAAAGCAATAATGTCTTTTATTTTGGGACAGAGAGGATCACAAAGCCAATCCCATCACGGCTGCCCTCAACAAACAAGCGTCATGGCTCTTGTCACATTGGCAAGCCTGTTAACCTTGTCAGGGTCGGATCACTCTAGGCTATTGGTGCAAACGTGCAGTGATCCCAAAGGACAAAGGGCAAACCTTGCAAAACCTCAAAGCTTGGGAATGGGATTACCAGTCATCTTGCATCATAAGAAAACTACAGGTTGCTTTAGACCATATCACAATGTTGCTACTGTAAGCCTGAACCAGCAAGTTCAGATCTTGCCAACGATAAACACAGTTTTGCAAAAGATGAGCAACACAACAATCCACTAAAGCACAAGAACAGGATGCACAAATAACAGCTATGTAGCCTTCCCCCTAACTTTGCTTTAGCTCTAGCTCCTTGATGTCTCATTGAGTGATTTTAGTTGATTTTGATGGAAGAGCATGGCAGAGAGCAGCTGAGAATTAATTTAGAGTAATTTTGATGGTGATTGATTGATTGAATACGGAGTCATGAGGAGCTAGGTTTTTTAGCTTAACTCCTAGTGTAAATGACAATTTGATTCTGCGTGCTTCCCATCAAAATCTGCACGGGATTCTGTTGTGCGGCTAAGGAGTGATTCTCGTGCAGACTCTGCTCCAGCCCTGCCGAGCGGCCCTTGAGCACCACTCCGCGCGCACGCACCCAAATGGGCATCAGCCCTCCAAGCGCGTGGACGCCGCGCTGCGCCGCGCGCCATTGCTCGCCGCCGCCTGCGACGCCGCCTTCGACCGGTGCCTCGCCGACGCGCAGCGCCACTCCCGGGCGTCCGCCGGTACCAGCTCGCCGACGCCGCCGCGCACCTGCACTCAGAGCTCAGCGCGTCCGTCCCGCTGGTCCGGCGCTGGGTGCCCTCGCCGCCGCCCCGCGCCCGAGTCGACGCCGCGCTCCGCGCCGCTGGGCTAGAGGACGAGGCAGAGCTCTCGCGGCTCCAGTTCCGGGAGTTTGCCGTCGAGCTGTTCAGGGAGGCCGTGCTGGCCGGAGCTGCGGACCTCCTCCGCGCCCCCGCAACCGCGGCCGGGGTTGTCGGGATAGGCATGGTGGCTCGCGCCGGTCCCCTGGTGGTCGGGAGGGTCGTCGCCGTCTGCGCCGCCGGCGTGGCCACCGCGGTTTACCTCAGCCTGGGCTAGGGTTTTCTAAGTGTTCTCCAAATTCTAGAGATAGAGAACCTGTACAAACCACTTCCATTGCTCTGCTGTCTTGTTTAGCTGAACCTGAATTCAACGGTAGTTGTTGCAAAAATGCATTTTATGATCGGATTCAGCTCGAATGCCATTGAATCAGCTGTGCAATGTTTCTCTGGCAAATCACATTCCTGAAAGCATCAACTATTTCAACAGTGGTGTAATATAATTTCAGCATGAATTAAACCCTCGATGTATTTCAGGCTGTAAACCCCCTTGTATAACGGCTACTCATGTATTTGAACTGCAAAGCTTTTTGCTGCTGCTGATCAATCAGCTGGTAGGGAGCACTTCTCCCTTCCGTTTCCCTCAAAAAAAAAATTCTCTAACTTTAATCAAGTTTGTTGAAGAAGGGCGGGCCTGGTGCAAGCGGTAGAGTTTTATCGCCTGTGACCGGAAGGTCCCGGGTTCGAGTCGCGGTCTCCTCGCATTGCACGGGCAAGGGTAAGGCTTGCCACTGACACCCTTCCTCAGACCCCGTACAGAGCGGGAGCTCTCTCTGGGTACTGGGTACGTCCTTTAATCAAGTTTGTTGAAAATGCATCAACATCTCATTAAATTCTCTGTGAAATATGTCTTCATAGTGCATATATTTGAACTTGTAGATGTTAATATATTTTTTCCAGAAAACTTAGTCAAAATTAGAGAACTTGCCTTAGGAAAAGCTGAAGTGAATTATAGTTTGAAACGGAGAGAATAGCACATAGCTACCTGTACATTCTATTTTCAATCTCATCAACCTTATGCATAAATGGTACCTATTCTTCATTTGGTTTCTCTGAAGTTGGTCTTGATGCAGTATTTCGTTTGAGTATATCTGTAATTCACAATGCCTATATGTAATAATTGTCTCAAGGCCTTACTTCAATCTGTTGTTGTATATAGGATTCAGAGAAACATATAGATGGATTAGGAGAAACAGAATGGGGCAGCAGTTCAGAGGTGAAATGAACTCGTCTGAATTCCATTGACCCTCTTCTTCAATTGTATTGGCATTCTGACTCGATCTTGGCTTCCTCTTCGTCTTGATATTAGCGGCAAGTCTCAAATCTGCCGTGGTTTCGTTTGTTCCCGCGCTTGTCCTAACCTATTCTTCTCCGCCAAGTTCTGTGATGTTTCCTGGATTGTGCTGAGGTCACCTAGCGATCTGATAATCAAAGCTTTGGTGTCCTATCTAAACTCTCTTCATGCCTCGGCTGAGCCCCTTTGGACTTTGAATCCAGCAACAGTGAGATTCAGCATAATCAACCAAGGCTCTTCTTTTGAAATCATGAAGATTCACAGAGATCTAAACTCAACAGCTCATATTTTAGCTACGCAGACTAGAAACGATGATTCAAGATCCTCGCCTTGTTTCTCTTGTAATCATTTCTCACATCGCCATCATTGTCCTGTCTCACAGGCTTTTTTTCTCTTGTATCCTGGAGCCCTTTTGAGCTCCTAACTGTACGGTGCTGTCAAGGTTCAATGAAGTTACTTATAAAAAAAACGGAAATCAACATGTCCGAAGAAAAAGAATTCATCACTGAATGGGCCGAAAGAACGATGATGCTCTAGGAGGCTTGGACTGTGGCATTTAAGCATTAAGGCGGATTCTCCAATGGGCCTGAGCCTGGACATTGCACACTTCAGTATACCGCATGTGTACTGGCATAGTGGCATGGCATATGGCCGGTCTGCACTCCAGGCTTGGAGTAGAGCAGCACTCTGCACTTAGGATCTACGAATGTCCCCAAGCCAGATGTGCTCTGTCTTCTTCTTTCAGTAACAACAGCCAGGACCAGGAACTTTCCCTCAAAAAAAACAACAGCCAGGAACCAACCAATATACTCCCTCTGTCTCAGGACAGAAGGCGCAACTGCTTTTCTATCAAGTCCCAGGATAGAAGGCGTGGCCTCCTCGGGCCCGGTTGTTTGCATGCAGAATTTACTGCTAGTTATTGGACCTCCTCGTTCTACTCCAATCCCGTTAGATGTAGACGTCAGAGCATCTATAAGAGTACATAATATTTTTTCCTAAAAATATAAAGTTTTACAACTCCAAATAAATATTGGAAGAAACAAAAAAGGTTATCTTCAAAAGTTTCTAATAATCTACTCCTAAAATAGAAGACAATTTTATATTAGTAATCCTATACTATTTCTAAATTATTCTAACCACTTTTATATATTCTCTCTCTTGTACATTTGCATCAGGAACCCTTCCCTACTCTTTATTCTTTCAACGCCCTTCCACCTTTAGATTGACCGACAAACACGCGTGGGGAAAGAAGATACACGCGATTCGAAGCGCGTAACTTTACGTGGAACATGGTGACTTTTTCAAGTTCTAAAAGATCAGGAAAATGGATTAGAAGTTGTTGGTGAGGAATTTTTTCTCATCTAAAGATTAGAAAAGGATTTAGGGAATTGGAGATGCTCTTATTAGTACTTCTCACGGAGTCACAGCGCTGCCTGTATGTACGAGTACTCGAGTACTGCCAACTTGACACATGCCTCTACGTGGCTATTTAAAGGAGCACGTACAAACGGGTAAATGTGGCGCCACTTGCCAAAATATTTTGCATACGCGCTAAGATGTAAAATAGTTGCAAAACGCAGACGTATTTGGCGATCATAGGCAGGTTTCAATTCTTGTAACTACTCCAACTGTAACACCTGGCGAGTGATCGTACCGTATCCAGCGCACAGCAGAAACAAACAACTTTTCTGCTAGCCGGAGGCTACCACCACGCCGGGACAAATGGACCCCCGCCAGCTCACTAGCTGAACCAAATCTCAAAAAAAAAACCCTAAAAAGAACACCGTTTTTGTACGACATTCGCCGTTGCCTCGTCGGTCCGCTACGTGCGATACGCCGCTGGCCGTCCTATCCCTTTTCCTCGGTCGATTTACAAAAATGGCACTCGAAACCTCGGGCATTCTTAGATTTGACATTGAACTCACGTTCATAGATATAGATTGCTCCATGTCATCCACTAAATATCATTATTTTTGTAATTTTTTCCTTTTCCTCTCGCTTCTCTCCAAAACAAACCACCACCATCACCAGACGCCGACGCCTTCTCCCCAACCCACCTGCGATCTCTACGCGCCTCGCCACCGGCTCCCTTGCGCAACCTCTCGCCTTCCCCTAACAGACCTACGCCGCGCCCTCCTCCGCTGTCCCGCCACCAGCGCCATGACGGCGCGCGGGAGCCCACGCGATGAGTCCCCCTGGCGGCGCCGGCCTCCACATTCCAGCCCTCCGCCAGCCGCAGTGGCCCTGGGACCGAAGCAGGGTACGAGCCGGTGCAGAAGGCGGGGCCAGGGACCATGGAGCACGTGTTCCTCGCGCTCCACGAGACGGAGGCCAAGCAGGAGGCGCGGATCCGGACATGTTCGCCTTCTTCGACATATCGAGACGGGTCTCGCCGCACTGCAGTTGCCCGCCAAGTGCAAGTACGCGAGGGAGCTGCTCCCGTTTGGTGATACGACACTTCCTCCGTGATTTGTTCTCGCCGGCGCTCAGCCCCCATCTCTCCTGATTTTTCTCCACCGTGATTTTTTCTCTACGCTGAAACTTTTATTCGTCCTCCAGTAACCACTCACCGTGAAGATCGATCGCATTGCCGGAGGAGCAGCAACGTCGTGACAAAAAAGCAGCTAACAGATGGTCCTCCATGGTCCAGGAGCTCACCGATCAGGAGATGCGCTCAGTTGCCGCCGTCCTCCGCGTTCTGCCTAACGATTCATTCTACGTGATCTTGCCCATGGCGTCACGCTCGGTTGGCCACCAGCGCTGCCGATTAGTCAATACAGAGCAGCAATTCAGTTGGAATGTTGCCGGAGCTCTACGCCATGTTGCATGGTCGCAACCGAGGACTCCCTCGAGATGATCACGACCTCCTTCAGAAACTTCCAGATGCTGGGCCTTGTCTCCTGTGAGGGCTTTAGTACTGATCCTCTCCACTTTGCTGGCATTAGGCGGGCAGTACGAATGCATCAGGATATGAGATGAGATGCCATAGTCAATTCTCGTGCCCATCGTAAGTGAAATTTACTCATGACAACCATATATATCTGACATAGAAATAGACCCATAAATTTGAACGAGCTGATGAGGGGCAATAATGTTGAAGCTTTTCTGATTTGTACGTATGCCAGTGATGAGTCTTTGTGTTTGGGGAATTTGCCTGCCCGCACAAGAGGCCAATTTCGTGCATGACTTGATGATGCTATCACCTACTCCTATCTTTGTTTTGCACATTATGTTTGCACATCTTTAGAGTTCAGACTTCACATTGCCATTGTGTTCCTTTGCTCTACTGAGGGTCTGAACACTTTTACTGAATCGCTGAACCCTGTAACCCACGCTAGGTATGGATGGCCAGCTTCCCAGCTCTTCTTGTCGAAACATTTGTGCTTGTCACTGCACTATTTGTCCTATTATGTGTATTAACAACAGTATGAAGCTGTAGGGGAAAAACAATATGAAACCAGCAGTTCACACTGTACTACCAATCCTGATCAATGGAAAATATGAAACTAGCAGTTCTCACTGTACTCCCCCTGAAAATATGTGGATTCTGATCAAAATGTTTAATTTACTGTGGTAGTTACAGTAGTTGTCGAAGAACTGCAATGCAAAATTCTATGCCCCTTCTCAAATTTACCTAATAATTTAATGGTACAATATGACATTATTTGATTTACATTTTTGTCATCTTCTACATCACATGTAAGTACAATTGCTACCTCGCTCTACAGTCGTATTTCAGAATTAAGCATTTTGTTGTTGTGCAGCTCGAGGTGGTGTTTAGCAAGGTCAGCCCGGTGCGGCACTGCTTCATGGTTGTGGATAAAGGTGAGCTGGAGGAATCCGGTTTTTGTTTAGTCGGGAGTGGTATTGCATTGATTGGGATTAGCTAATTCTACCGGTGCGCTTGTGGTTGCTTTATTGCAGGAATCTGCAGGAGCGGAGACGAGTCAAGGCTTTGGGTTCGTTGCTCCACAAAACCGATTGTTTCTGAATGTTAAGCTTAAATTCGTCATTGTCGCACTCTCAAGTGGCTCAAGAACTAGCACATCCTGTGGTTACTGTAAATTTACTATACTAAAATTTAAAAGGGTTTTATTGTTAGCAAAGTTGCTGACCATAGACCACAACTTTACATTTACTACATGAATCTTGTTTTTCTTGTAGGGATCCTACATTTGATCTATCATCTTCATGCCAATGGAATACCAATGGTTGTTGGCTTTAATTGATGGAATCATTCATATTTAGTTGTTGTTTTCATGTGGCTTTTCATTTGCTGTGAGAAATCCATAGACATCGAGTGCCTTTTACCATAACTGATTAACGCTCTTAACAGAGCAAAATATTGGTAATGTTAAATTATTATTATTGAGCCTCTACCGGGTCTAACCACATGATTTCCTTTTCAGGTCTCTGTGCAGGACTGTATTGCTCATATACTCATCACGTTCGAATCACATCTCACAAGAAGTAAAGTTGCAAGAATCAATCTTGTCTTGAACACTGGAGGTGATGTGTGTTAGTAGGATCATTTAATGCTATTTTTCAGAGCGGATTACTCGTGTTGTTTTGTTGCAACTAAAATTCTAATATAGTGGAATAACTGTCAATTCAACAGTTCGGTTGAGGACTATAGATATGGACCGGTTGTGTCTTTGTTTGCCTTTTGTGCAATGTTAAAGTTTTCTGGTACTAATGTTGCACTTCCACTATTCTGATGTTCTGCAAGAGGATGCAAGTATTCAGTTTTATGATGAAGCATTTACCCCAAAAAAAAAAATGATGCAAGGGGCTACAAAATGTTGTGCTTTTTTCTAGCTTGCACCATATGTAAGCAGTCGCAAACAAATCTGATGTACTGTGATGGTGTTTCTGCTTCAGTTACAATCATATATAGAGAACTACAGGAACCACAAGCACCACGAATATAACGCTCAGCATATTGTTTTTGTGTAACAACATAACACAGGTTCATACTTACATTATCGTGACATTATTTTTTTTCCCGTTGTAAGGGGACATTTACCTCGTGGCGGGCGGCGTGAGGCCAAGGGCGGCGCGGCTGGGGCTGATCATGTTCAAGGCCGACGTGTCGACCCTGACAACCACCTCACGACGTGGAGCGAGGACGACGAGCGGCCCTGCGCCTAGGACGGCGTCACCTGCGACGCGCGCACCTGCCGCGTCTCCTCGCTCTCCCTCGCCGGGCCAGGACGCCATGACCGCTCAAGCCTCGTGGCAGGCGGCGTGAGGCCAAGGGCGGCGCGGCGGGGGCGGGGCTGAACGATGACATGTTGGGGCTGATCGTGTTCAAGGCCGACGTGTCGTACCCGACGGCCGCCACACGACGTGGAGCGAGGACGACGAGCGGCCCTGCGCCTAGGACGGCGTTACCTGTGACGCGCGCCTGCCGCGTCTCCACGCTCTCCCTCGCCGGTTTCGGTCCCTCCGGCAAGCTCGATCCACTTTGCTTTTTGATTAAATATCACTTTAACGTCAGTATTTAATTTCACAGTATTGTTATCTTATCATACGATCTATACATTTCTGGTATAAAAGTTCAGCTATCCCGTAACAACGCATGCACACAAACCTAGCAGGGGTAAGAAGCTAGAAACCATGCACGCAGCGGCCACCGGCCACCTAACTCGTCGCCTAGTCGCCGCGCCGAGCCAAGCGACGCTGGGTTGGAGAATATCCTATTCCAGCTCACGCGCCGTAGCGCGTAGCGGTTGGTGCGGTGCCGAGACGTCGTCGCGTCACATGGCCGCGACCCGCGACGGGGCAACGCTCTGCCCGGTGCCCCGGGGCCCCGCCTGCGGACTTGCCGAGCCTCGACTCGATCGAGCGAGCGACGTCGCGCGTCGTTGGCAGCAGCGCCGCACCGGGCACGCGATGCGAGCCCCGGGGCCCTCGGTCGAAGCCGCCACATGGTATGGTATGATACGTACGTGTACGCCTCCCTCTGCTGATGTTGTGATATGTCTCTCTCCGCGACTTCTCGCGAGTTGATGGGTGGCCAGCAGCCTTTTGGCGTCGACGACAGGCACATTTAACGGTCCAGAACGGACGGATCGGAGCGGACGATTCGCCACCATCATTGATGTTGTTTCACGAGCTTGGACAAGAGGATGGGTTTCCGTGCTGTACTGCGAACTGCGATATGACTGAGTAATTGTTCTGTGCCTTCTTCTTCTGCAGCGTTGCTGCCACTGTCGTTCACTGCATGCAACTCCTGGCAGGGAATGTTTCAATTCCAGGTTCCTAGTCCGGCTGTCATTCTTTCTGATCAGGTAGTAAGATTCGACAGTGAAGCACTAGATCGACTCCGGCGTGTGGCCTGCACACGCATGGACCGACAGAGACCATCGGACGCGCCGTTAATAGGCGAGGTGAGAAACCGATTCGGGAAGTAGGTAGCCTCGGAGGTAAGCGAAGGTGGCAGGGCAGCAGAAAAGGAGCCGGACACTACCGAAGCGGTGAGCTGGGGCCGTTTCTTTCAGTTCCACTTCCATCGGTGATCTCCTTTTGCTCGCCACGCCATGGTGGTTTTCCTGCGGCCTTTCAGGCTTTTCTTTCCGCTAGCTTAGCAGCTCCTTGCTTCCACAGATCGCACTCACACCGTCACACGAAACAGGTTGTCTGCCCGTCTTATCATGTGACCTCCGCTTTAGACAGGGCATTCATGTGATGTTTTCGGTTACATGATGAGTGAACTTTAGCTAGCAAGATGCATCAGAATCAGATTTTATTTCTGCGTCCTATACATAATTAAATTAAAGAAGAAGAAAAAAAACGCTGAGATGACAGCTTCTAGATGATGGATTATGTGATATGTTCACACGAATGTACATGGACTTTTTAACAACGGCATATGTGATATGTTCACACGAGACACACGGTGAGGAGACAAACGAGGCGTTCACTGCCTTGCTTACGTAATCAGTGTCGACCTAATGATGTGATCGGTGAGCTAAACTGGTCCTGTCAGCTTGCGTAGAGAATGCATCACCAATACTTGTTTCTAGTCAGGTGTGCATCCCCAGCCAAACAAAAGATGTTAGCATGTTCAGCTAGGCAAAATTCGTCGATCTGAAGTTCAGACCCAACTATATGGCGCAAGTGTAACCTTTTTCTCAAGTCAAAATCATGTTGCGCTTTAACCAAACAGACCAGTACCCTGCCCTGCTCATGTCAAGTAGTAACACAATCTGACCGTAAATGACTAAATGTCGAGTACTACCATGAACTGATTGTCATGCTTCCACAAATTCGTCAAAACTGGAATTGCTTAGAAAGATGCTGGAAGTTGACTTCAAATCCTGAGGACAACTCTTTACTTGTTGGAGGGCCTCTGTTTATTGTAACCCTTAAGATTACCAGCCTCGCTAACACGAGACAGTCAGTCGAGACTGCATATGTCATTTGACAGTGGGCCAGGGTGGTAAATAATTAATTATAAGTGGCATCTTGTAAACATTAATCAAGCTTTAATCGAGTCGTTACAACCTACATTAACTTCTTCCATCATTGATCATTGAAAAGTTTAGGTGATCATTAATATTTTAATTTTGATGACCCAAATGTTAACCCACACAAGTAGTCAATGCCTACATGAAAATGGCGCTCACGAATCACGACTTCTTTAACTAGAGATCGCTCACGACATGATACTCCGTTATGACGTCAAGGCGTCAAGCTGAAACGCTACGCTACGCAAGCGCTCCCATTACGACTTTATATATCTTTCCACTTCCGCGTCAATATCATGGCACTTTATGAATTAGGAGTTCAACGCTCGAAATGGTACGATACGGCCCTGCTATGTGGGAGAGCTCCGCTCCCGATTCTTTTAACTCTGAGATTTTATTGGATTCCTAAAAGCAAGTAGGGTGGGGAGCTAATGATAAATGATTCTCTGCTGATCCTTATCAGAATATAACAAGGAGCAGAGATGAAGCGGGGTTTTTTTTAAGCTCCCAGCTCCTGGTGTAAATGAATAAGTGATTCTCTCCTCCCCACCTCAATCAGTTGGCATTTTCAGCGTTTGGCTAGTTGTGAGTGATTCTGTTCAGAGAAGCTGAAGCTGGAACTCTTCCAAACGACCCCTTGAGGCCCATGGCTCCTCGTGTCGAGCTGCTTCTTTGGTGGAGATAGAGCCATTTTAGAAAATGTTTGCCAAAAACAGCTCCAGTGACAATTTTGTAATAATTTGTATTAGATTTATGCCGAAGCCCCGCCAAAGAGGACCTTGGTGTCCAATGTGAAAAGAGATGTACGATCGTTTGAATAATCTGATTTTTAAATTTCTAAAAAGGTTTCTAAGCTTTGGCTTCTAAACTTCAAAACAATAAAATGAAAATAAAATTACAATTTTCTTTGGCCAACAAGCATTTCAATTTCTTGTGCAGACTCCTATTACTTTTTTTTTTTTTGTGAACAGACTCCTATTATTTCTAAGAGTGAGCCTAACATTTTCTGCTGGAAGCGGGCCTCCATGGCATGTGCTCTTTTAAAACTGCTTACATAATGCTGGCAATTCAGGAGGCATCAAGTCATTCCACTTCTAATATTCACGTGCAGGTGTTACAAATTCTCATATAGGTGTGGCCGTGTGGGTGGATAAAACAATTCAACCTCGGATCAAAACTTTTGCTTGGAGATTGCTGAGACTCACTCTAGGAACTACTAGCAGGGTTCATAAGATTATTTTAACTGTCGATGAGACATGCTCTCATTGTATTAACTTGTACTAACTTAAAAGGTGAAAAACATCTATTTTTTGATTGCAGCTTCGCCAGGACTGTTTGTTTTGCCTCACCCGTTAGAATTAGAGTTGACGCCTTGCCTTCGTCGAACCATGCACGCAAATTGCTACTATTTTACAACACGGGCCATCACATACTACTATAGGTATCATTCCCTCTTATCATGTGGTGTTTTCGGAAAGCATGCAATTGATCAGTTGCTAGAGTTTTACATGAGGTAAATGTAACTGACAAAGCTTACTGCATGACTACTGAGGATGATCGCACATATTACTCCACAATCTACGCCCACTTGCTTACAAATTCCAGTTGGTCCCATAATTTAGGTGCCACTACTCCAAACCAAATACGCATTAGAATTTTCATTCTTATAACACCTGCAAGAAGTGTTTCCCATGATTCGCAAAAAAAAAAAAAGTGTTTCCCATGCATCATTTTTTTTTTCAGGTGGCCATTCCCTAGGTTTTGGAACCCTTGGAGAATGAAACTCTTGCCCTCCTTCTTGGTGCTAAATTGGCTAGGACTCTCAACCTGCAGGATACAACTCTCAACAATCAGATGCTAGTGATGGTTGTTTTTTTTTTTTTTTGAAATTAGTGATGGTTGTTTGTGCTGGTTCACCTTGTACTCGCTCAGATCATTGGACACAGGGGCGGCGGGAGGGGTATTTCTTGGAATACCCATGATTTTATACTCTTATAAAGCCAAACCCCACTACTTATTTCTCTGTGATTTCGTGAGGCCACGGCATCGAAGGGTCCCACAAGTCACTAAGCTTCAAGCTAAACCCCACTGAAGTAGCATCGTCAACTAATGCAGAAGAAACTGAAAAGCTACACGGCATCAAGTCGACTGTCCTTTACAATTCCAATCAAAATAGGTTGAGAAACCGTCGTCATGCAAAAAACGTGTAAGGAAGAGAACGAGATTGTGAATGAGATGAGGTTGCTTCTGATTGTGAAAGAGATAAAAGTTTTCACGGGCACACGTTTCTCTATTGCTCGCTAGAATACTACTTCTAATTTGGATTTGGGTATCCCCCGATGAAAACAGTCTACATGACACAACTAGCTGAATGAAATGAAAATTGTGATAATTATGAACACTTTTTTTGGCAATAGCCTTCTCAATCAGCTTTCTGCATGATGAAGAGTGTTTACTGTAATTTGAGTTGTTCAATAAGCAACTAGCTACTTACGTTCCCAAATTACTTAAGTTTTAAATACTTTGTGCTCCATAATAATAATAGTAATAATCTGAGACGAATCTATCGCTAATTCCCATGGCAACACGCGAAAAATCCATCGCTGATTCCTGCGGCAACGCGCGGGGAGTTCTTCTAGTTTTGATAATAAAACAAACAAATATACATGTTAAGTGTTAGCATATTTGCCTTGCATTGTGGAAGAAAACTATAAAGGCAAAGAAAATAGCTTCCACATGCACACCAAATCCTCCTTCTTGCTAGACTTATAATCCTACGCATTGTTGTATCTTTACATTGCACATTTTATTCACATGGAATACCCTGTATGTAACATTTGGCCCCCACCACTGATTGGACACTAGGGCCTCCACCTTCTTAATTACAGGCGATAAGTTAAATGAGAAACCTCTCGGTCATCAAAATCAGAAGGGTGTCAAACAAAACAGCTGACACGCACAAACTTGCAAAAAAAAAAAAAAGTGAGGCATGTTAGAAATCACAAGCGCATGTCTTCTCTCTTGTCAGGCCCATTCGCTGATATGCAATGTCGTTCAAGCTCTCCGTAACATTTCAAATGGAGCATTTTTCGTCCCGTATCTGTACTTTGTCTGTAATGCAACGGAATTTTAACCTTTTTGGAAAAAAAGAAATACGTAAAGAAAAGTCCAGCCGAGTTATATTAATGGCATGAAGATCCTCGAAGGTTAGTGACAGATTCAAGTCAGCCTTGAACGCTGAGTAAACTGTACCGGGGACGGTAATGGCCCAGACAGGGACGCGCACCCTCGAAAACCAATGGACTGATCCGCGTCAGGGCGCATGTGCGCCCGCATTTTTCTTTAATCCGTGCAGCTAAACCGTGAGCTGTTCCTGCGCGCAATAATCATCTGGGCCAGCCTTTCACATCCCCTTTCCATCGCGGACGACACCGCTGGGGACCTGCCCCACCGCCGGTGGCGGTCGCGCGGCCTTTTCCGTCCCTTTTCGCTGTTCGGCAGCTCAGCTCAGCCTCGGCGGACAACCGCGGCGGCCTTGGACTTGGACAGCGTCATGAGGCATATAAATAAAAAATAAAACAGCAGGCATCCTTGCGTCTCTGTCTCTATCTCTTAAACATGTGCTCGTGTCAAATCTAGCCAAATAACTTTGATGCTCTACAGTGGGCAGGGACAACCGTGGCGGCCTTGGACTTGGACAGCGTCATGTTGGTGCACGCATGCAGGTGTCCTTGCTGCGTTGGTTTGGACCTGATCCCGTGGTTCTATTCTAACCAGCTCTTTGATGCTCTACGGGTACGGCTTCCCTTCCCTACTGGACAAGGACGTTGCGCAGGTGTATTGTGTCCCTTTGGACCTGATCCCGATTGGTTCTGGTAGAATGCACTGCTTCCCTTCCTTACTGGACCCGGACGCAAGTTGTCAGGGTCGGGTCCCTATAGTGTGCTTCTGAATGCCACTGTGTCGTAAAGAGCGTGAGAAGACCCTCGTTTTCTATACCACCAAGTTGAAGGCCGTCACATTTAGGGCTATGTTTGGCAGGATTTATAGTTGTTGTGGCTGATTTGTAGAATTAATTTGTTGCTTGAGAAAAATAATGTCCCATAATTAAAAAAATAGAGTTAATTCTGGTTTATAAGCTCAACGAACCGAGACTAAACTGGCAATTCGTTGATTGCCGCCATGTGCGCGCTCCCCAACCAGGAGAACCACCCAGCTCGCGCTCCGGGTGAACAGCAGAACAGGCAAGCATCACGCAACCACCAACCAGTGCACACTGCCACATGGTGACACATATAACACACAAGCGCACGGACGCTTCCGAGGACAGTAGCAGTAGCCAGTAGCAGCATACTCCTACGCGAACGGGGAATCGAATCGATCGATTAACGGGCGGCAGTCACCGTGTGGCCTGCCAAACTGTCCCCCCGGCCCCGCCTGCGCCTGCGCCTGCGCGGCCTGGCCATCCATCCCTTGGCTTCCACGCACCAATCTTGTCCCGGCGCCCGCCTGCCAAATCCAGCAAGGCCACATCCCCGAGACAGGGCAGCAGGAGCAGGGAGAGAGCAGTTGAGCACTAGCAGCAGCACCCGCTGACGGGACGCACGGCAATGGCGGCTTCTTCAGGGACGCGCTCCGTGCGCCTGCTGCTGCTCTCCCTGCTCGGGTTCTGCGTCGCGCTGAGCCACCAGGAGTCGTCGTCGTCGTCCACGGACTCGTGCGCCACGGCCAAGGTCGCCGTCGCTAGCCTCGTGCCCTTCGACTCCACGTCCTTCCGCTGCACCGCCGCCTGGAAGCAGCAGGACTTCGTCCTCAGGGTATGCCTGCTCCTGCTCTGCTGCTCAAGCATTCCCGATTCTCTTCTCCTGCTGGTGGCTGTTGTTCCCCCCTTCCTTTTCATACATACACATACATGTCAACCGTCGTGTGTGTTCGTCGTCGCTGGGAGTCCTCGGATTCGTTCTAGGCTAGATCCCATTGCCACTGCATTCCTTCGGAGCTCGGAGCTGCCAGTCGATCTGCGAATTGTGGAGCTAATAACAATCCGATCTGACCCGAATTACGCCTCGTTCGTTCGTGCCGGCAGTACAAGAACACGGGGCCCAGCGAGTGGAGCTTCATCCTCTCGGCGCCGGACAAGGGCTCGTACGTGGCGGTCGGCTTTTCCGGCAAGGGCGCCATGGTCGGGAGCAGCGCCGTCGTCGGGTGGGCGTCCAACGGCAAGGGCACCGTCAAGCAGTACTACCTCGGCGGGAAGAGCCCCGAGGACTGCGCCCCGAACAGGGGCCTCCTCAAGCTCGTCAAGAACAGGTCCGTCGTCGTCTCCCGCTCCGGCCGCCTCTACCTCGCCTTCCAGCTCAGCACCGACTACCCGCAGCCGTACCTGATCTTCGCCGTCGGGCCGGACGGCAACCTGCCGCAGTCCGACTCCCTGCGGCTGCCGATGCACCAGAACATGGCCTCCCGCTCCTTCAACTACACCTCCGGTATGCATGCATGTCCTCCGAATTCACTCACTCACGCAGCAGTTTTTTGCAATTCGATCTCCCTCCGATTGCCGAATCGCCAAATGCGTGCGTGAGCGTGACAGAGGATCTCGTTCTTACCTGTGTGTGCTCGTCGCTTGCTCATCAGGGATGTCTTACAACACCGCCGGCTCGTCCGGCGACCAGGCGGCGTTCCCGACGGAGCGGAAGCACGGGCTGCTGGGCATGATGGGGTGGGGCGTGCTGATGCCCATCGGCATGATCACCGCGCGCTACTTCCGGCAGCTGGACCCGTGCTGGTTCTACACCCACATGGCCATCCAGGTGTCCGGCTACGCCGTCGGCATCGCGGGCATCGTCCTCGGCTTCCGCCTCAACGAGGACGGGCTCAAGAACGTGGACGTGCACAAGGCGCTCGGCATCGCCATCTTGGCCATGGCGTCTCTTCAGGTACGCAACGCATCGCACCATGGAAAACAAAACTACTCCATAGAAAATTGCCCGAGTTACAGTACTACTCATAGGTAAGATTTAACAGCCTCTATAATTAACACGGGGGAAATTTTTGAATATAAATCATGATGATAATTTGTACTGGTATCCACTTTCGGTTGGTTCGGCACATGCGTACGGTGTGGATTGGAATCTGCCGCAATGGCCAGGCTGGATAAAACAGCATGGTTTTACGGGGTTTGTTTGTAGTAGTTGACCGTGATTAAGTACAGCATAGGAGTAGGACTGAAGAAGTGGGAACATTTTCAGTCACATGCCCCGTGAATGAAAACTGAAAAGCATGCAATCAGAATAGAGGCTTCCATTTTTGTTGACAGCAGAGCAGAGGCTAGACAGACAATGCGCACCGTAGCCTTGCAATTGTTTATGCTTCGAATCTTCGGTCGCCGACGAAATATGGCCGAGTGTGTGAAAGTTGTCGAGCACTGAAGTTGACCTTGACCCTAGGGGAACTGCAGTACTGCAGATCATTTCTTTTTTTTTACTGTCTCGAGTCCATAACGAAGGGCCCAACATCAGAAAAGTCCATTTCAGATGAACTGGTGGAAAAATGAGTACGTATTGGCTGTTATATTGTTGCCTTTCCGTGCTGATGTATGTATGTGTGCTTTGATCCACCTGCAGGTGCTGGCGATCCTGGCGCGGCCGGACAAGACGTCCAAGGTGCGGCGGTTCTGGAACTGGTACCACCACAACATCGGCCGCGCGACGATCCTGCTGGCCATCGGCAACATCTTCCTGGGCCTCTCCATCGCGCAGGAGATCAGCGCCTACATCGTCTCCTACGGCGTGTTCGTCGCCGTGTGGGTGGTCGCCGTCGCCGCCTTCGAGATGAAGCGGTGCTACGCCGACGACGACTGATCGAGCGTGCGCGGGACGGTAACGGCGAAACGTACAGTCAGTTCGTTCCGAGAACAGCTTGCTGGCCATAGGACGACGAAGTTGAAGACGTAAATTAAGCGTTCACGACCAGTAACGTGACAGTGTGACACACATACACCATTCTTGTTCCGTAGCTCGCAGCTGGACAGTGCATTCGGGTTTGGTTGGCTAAAATTTGTTTTTTGGGGCCGGGTATAGGATGTGAAGAAGGGGCCGGACTGCTGTGTTCTAGCCTAGCTGGACGCTCTGATCCATATATTTTGTACATTGGTACATGGTCATGTTGTGTTGTACCCTTTTGGACGATAGCTTGTTCTTCACCATTTTTTGTTGTTTCCACCGTGCATTGATCAATGATGATACTTATTCGCTGATTCCTAGACACAGCTGTAGTATGTGCTGAGATTGGCACGCCTTGATCTTTATGCGTCGTTTCAGAACACACCAACCGGTAGCTACGTGTGGTGTTGACTGCTCTGTGGTGCGTACCAGCACCGACCACAAATGGAACGATCAAGCCCGTGAATCCGTGATTCGCCGCTGCTGGCGGCGCCGGGAGCGGCGACATTCCCGACCGTGTTGCGGCGGCCGAACGTACGCGCAAGCTGAAGCGGCTCCTTGTCGTGTCTCAACGGAAGGAAGGGAGGCGAAGTGGATGCGGGGAATCGGTGCGGTCCGCAGAATTTCGCGGTCGTCCGGGGGGCACCAGATGGGTGGCTGATGGACGGCCGCGGCCGAAGCCCCACGCGGCGCGGCGCGCACGTCCGAAACCCCAGCCGACAGCCGCGGGCTGAGTCCACGGCCGGCCGGCACGTCCGCACGTATGGCGAGGACGCGCGGCTGAATGACCGTGCTCAGCGTCTGAGCGCACGCCGGGTGCAAAAGTTGCCGACGAGTCACATCGAATCAGCCCGGGCTTATCCAGGCTCATCGCCGTCAGAGTCACATCGAATCAGCTAAATGCTAATCGAGGCTGATGGCCTTCGCCTTCGGAGTCACATCTAATCAGCTAATGCTTATCGAACATCATCGCCTTCAGATGGTGGTGACTAAAGGATCCGACGACACCTCACCACGAGTCGCAGACTTGTCACCACAAACTCAAATCTGGCCCAAGTAATCCAACGGAGTGCGCAGTTTAAACCACAATTGCAGCCAGACAGCTAGCACCATCAACAGGCTAAGGTGGTCCAGACCATCATGTTTAGTTGTTTATTACAGGTCAAGCGGACACCAACGTTTTCGTCCATGCCATTTTGCTGAAGCTGGGGCATATCAACCTTGCGCTAAGGTTCATTTTGATCTTGGATTCTTGGGAAACGGACACGAGGTTTTAGGTCCTCAAGGTGAACTATTGCAAAGACCCATTGTCATTGTGCTCTTGCACAGATGCGCGAACGGCTCCAGGCACAAAGTCATGGCCAGTTACAAGCATCCGGCACGGTAAATGACTCAGCTTGGTCCATCAGCACTAAAGCTTACAACCAAATGGGAGCTACAGGCTGCACAAAATCTAAGTGCCTTAAACAATTTGAAAGTTCACCTAGACACCACGCTAACCGATGCATGAATCGCTCAGTCAGACAAAGCAAACATTATTCCTAACAACTGACATGAATCCATGCTAAAATCTCAGGGTTCACTCTTGACAGCATGGCTGTCTGAGGCGCCTGCATTTTGAGCATGTGATGACATGGCAAATCCTCTCATCTTTAGGTCCACCGGGAATGGATGCGCCTCCTGCAGCAACTGGTGCTGCTGCTGCTGCTGCAAATGCGTCTGCTGTTGCTGATGCTGGGAGTGGATCTGGAGCTGCTGCAGCTGCTGAGCAGCCAGAAGGGACTGTATATGGCTGCGCTGGTAACTTTGTGGATTGCCTCCAAATGAGGACATACCAAAGTTTCCCATTTTTCCAATGTTGGCATTTACCTGTCCTGTTGCAACCTTCAGTTGCTGAATCTCGTCTCTTAGCCTGTCGTTCAGAGCTGCAGGTAGACAAGGACTAGTTACAATACTAGAGATGGAAAGGGGATCTTTGGGGATAAGCTTTTGTGGTAACATCCCAAAATAGCTAAAAGTGATATAAATTACTCCCTCCATTCCAAATTGTAAGTCGCTATGTTTTTTCTAGATACATAGTTTTTACTATGTATCTAGACATAATATATATTTAGATGCATAGCAAAAGCTATGTATCTAGAAAAGCCAGAACGACTTATAATTTGGAACAGAGGGAGTAGGTTTTATTATAAGTCTCAAATGACAATGAACTAATGTTAATATTATTAAATGAATGTTTAGCATGTTTCACATTTCCCTTAATTTTATAGTATAGCCAAACCGACAACTTCAGGACAATCTTTTCAATTGCAAATTTCGCTAGCTATTCCTTCTTTTCACTTTTTTTTGGTACGGTGGGGGTTGGGGGGTATAATCAAATAAACATCACACAAATGTGTCGTTTCATTTCTAAAACTTCAACTTATTCACTTTGAATGCAAAGAAAAATATATAGAAGCCTTACCATCCTGCAGCCGAACCTGCTGCTCCATTGTCTGCACACGTATCTTCAGATCACTATTCTCGCTTGTCAAACCACTGGTATCTCGCTGTACCATACAGATAATCAATTATAAAGTTGTAGGAAAAGGGGAAACAGGTATTCTGAAAACATAAAGCTACATCAGTGCCGTCTATGTTCTACATGTAGGTGGTATGAGCATGATGAGATGGAGGATGTGACCAGTGCCTATGGAACTGGGCGGCAAAAGGATTGGGGGGGGGGATGAAAGGTTGAAAAACAGAAGGTTATTAGCCCTTTGCTTCTATTTTTCCAACCATGACACATCTTCTCACTTTATATAGATGGGGGTTCCTTGACCATTAAGAACCTGTTTATGCAGGGCAAGTTCGGAGCTCCATCTCTGATGTGAAGTTTGTATGCTAAAATCAAGAATCTTGAGACTACCTTTTGTCTAGAATAGAAAGAAAACAGCTTAACCAAACAACCAAAGTATACCCACAGCTCTAGATCCATAAATTTCCAGAGCTAGGAATACCCAGCTCCAAGAAATCCACAAATTTCCAGGAGCTAGAACTCTGCCAAACAATGCTGAAGGAAATTATAAATGGGGTTTTACAGATATGATCTGACTTTCCAAACTGAAGAATGATGAACTTTCTAAATAAACAATGACTTGGTTTGGACGACAAGCTGGCAACGGCAGGGGTAGCCTCCTGGTAGCAGCGTGGGGGCTGGTGGCGACTGTAGGGAATGTTGCCACCCTCTTGGGCTGCTGGCTGGCCGTGTGGGCTTTGCCACCCATAACAGTCGGATAAGAATTACCAAACAGAAAGCAAAGCACACCTTATGATTATTTGCAGAACAAGATCCAGGAGTAAAGCATGATCTTCTTTTTTAAGAAAGATACTCAAGCCTGGAAAACTAATACCCATATGCAGACACATAAGGAAGCTTATGCTTGTTATTGTAGAATTGAAGAACCAAAGCCACAAATATCTAATGTAGAACTGTTAATAAATGCTCAAAACATTGCAAAAGTAATCCATGTATCAAACTGCGTATATATTCAAAATCTTTGTTGGCTGTTCATGAGACAAAGCAACTGTGACTCTGAGTAGCAACCAAATTGCAGATTATAATGTAGACATTTATCTAACACGTCTCCATATTAAAAAATTCAGGAAAAGCCGAAAAGGTAAGTACAACTGTACAAGTGAAGAACCTGCAACATGGCCAGCTGAGCTGATAGTGTAGTTGCTTCTGACTGGAGAGTCTGTACTTTCCTTTCAAGCTCTGCAATGTAGCGCATCTTTCTTTCCTTTGACCTAGCAGCTGACTGGCGGTTTGCCAAAATCCTAAAATATGCCATGAAAGTAATTACTTGGTCACTGGAGCAAGTGATCTAATTACCATAACCAAAATACACATCTAGACTGCTGAGATGTGTTATCATTCAACCACTCACACATTAAAAACCTCCAGAATTCACATGATTTGAATATACAAAGTTACATGGAGCATAAGTTTGTTACAGATTACAGATGACAAAATGTTACTGCCCCCACTCCAAATATAAGTTCATTAGGACATACTATTTGACTAATAGCATCTATTAAATATATTTATTTAAAAAGAAAGTATTGTATATTATGACAGTATGCACCATGATGAAAAAGGTCTGACTTAGAACAAACCTAAATGGGCATACATTTGGGATCAAGAGTACTAAAGTACAGTGATACACAGGATCATTCCCATGTATTTTAGAATATACACTCCCCACACTCCTGGTGCCTTCCCCCAAGATAGAGAATGAATACCTACTGACAACGACATGACATAGTCTGGTACTCTGGTATATAGTGGTATAAAGATATCCACTCGACAAGCGGACCAATTACAAGGGATAATTCATTCATAGGACTGGAAATTGAAGTACCCAATTTTATTGTCATTATGTCAACAGCACAAGTATGAAGAGCACAGCATCGAGGACTACTACAATTCTTTGCAAATCAAGATCAGTGATGTTATACTTTTGTCTAATTTGAAGTACCACAACTTAACGGACCTATCAGTGGGTCAATGATGAACCAAGATTGCCTTTCATCTATGATATCGACAGTCCATAGCGCTATATATTCTGCTGGATCACAATCAGGCCAAAAGTTCTAGTAGGGTCTCATTTCAATCTATGTTCCAGATTCCACAACTTTCTTCCCTTTGCACTCAGTTCCTGTGACTCTTTTGCAGGAGGCTGCGCTCTTTAAAATTAGCAGTAACAGTATCCTCGGGTGATCAGTCCTTGTCAAACGCCGCCACAATCAATATCATATTCGCCCGATTGCTATTACTAACCGGAAATACTACAAAGGTGACAGACGAAAACAAGGGGCAGCTCTCCTCCGTAGGATGCTGTTAGATTCTCACCTCTTGGCGCGCTTGGGGTCAACGAGCGCGAGCTCGGCGAGCTTAGCGTCGGAGATGGCCTTCTTGGCGTCAGCGCCCGCCCTCCCAGGCGTCCCCGCGGCGGCGGATCCAAGCAGGGACGTGGAGCCGTCCATGGACATGCTGTGCTGGTGCCGTGGCCGCGGCGGCGGCGGCGGCGTCGCCGCCGGATGCGGGTGCGCCGAGGGCTCCGACGGCCCGGGGAGCGTGCCGCCGTTCTCGAGGAACATCTCGAACATCCGGCTGCCGCCAGCGCCGCCGCCCCTTCCTCGTCCTCGTCGTCGTCCTCCTCGTCCTCGTCGCCGGCCACGCAGGCCTCCCCGACGACGCCGAGGTCGGCGTCGAAGGTGAGGTCGTCGGGGAGCGCGGCGCCCCCGAGGAGGATCTCTGACTGCGCGCGGCGGTGCCCCGCCCCGCGCCGCGGCGGCGAGTCCGGCAGCATCGCGGCGACGTCCCCGCCGCCGCCGCCGCCGCCGCAGAGGCGGAGGCGGAGGCGGAGGCCGAGCAGGAGGCGGCCGGGTCCGCGGGAGGGGCCGGGTCCATGGAGATCTGGGGAATGCGGGAGGGGTGCGCTGGGGCGGGGGCGGCGTGAGGGGGGCAGAGGGACAAGGGAGCAGGAGCCAAGAGGGAGCTGGAGGGGCAGGAGGAAGACATGCTCGCCTTGAGCTTTGACCGAGGCATTGACTCCTCGGAGTCGAAAAACAGGGAGGAGAGGCATCCGCAATTCCGCACCGTGGACGTGGCCGTCGCCGCTGCTGCATTGGGCCTGCGGATCTGCCGATGTGGCCGAGATGCGCGCCGAGCTGGGGCCAGCTGCGGCCTGCGGGCTCGACCGGCTGCTGGTACGAAACAGGAGACCTACTGGGCTTGGACACCTCCGAAGGTTCCGGAGTCTGGTTCGTTGGTGCTCCGCGGTGGCAGCCAGACGGAGGGCACTGTAACCAAGTTCCCAGGCTATATTTTAACTTTTGCCTTCTTTAGTTCCAACCCACCTTCAAAAAGTTGCTACAGTATCTATCACATCGAATATTTGCGGCCTGTGTATGGAGCATTAAATGTAGACGAAAAGAAAAACTAATTGCACAGTTTGGTGGGAAATTGCGAGACGAACGTTTTGAGCCTAATTAGTCCATGTTTGAACACTATTTGCCAAATAAAAACGAAGGTGCTACAGTAGCCCCAAAATCCAAATTTCGCGAACTAAACAAGGGCTTTATATATATATATATATATATATATATGAACTAGGTAGGATAGCTAATATTTTATACTTTAAACACACGGATCGCACGATAATATATATATATATATATATGAACCAGGTAACATGTTCGTAATATTTTATACTTTAAACACACGGATCGCACGATAAGATAATAATACTATAAAAATTAAATACTAAAACATTAAAGTAATATTTAATCAAAAAATAAAGTTTGTGAAATTAACACAGTTACGGAGAGCGCGGCGTCGCAGGCTCGCAAACTCTACTTTATAGACTTTTCCGTGATGCGGTTAAGATAATATTTTATATCGGTAGAAATTTCTTTCGTACGCCAATAAATCTACGAATAAGTTCCGCACATCTTTGTACCATCATGTACACAGATTCGAATATATATGTAAATATTAGTGGTCTGTCACATGGGTAATACTACGTATCTTGAAAAATCTCCCACAAAACCTTAAAACAAAGTATGTTGTACTCACCGTATAAATATATGTGGCTTTAGGTCTATTCTACGCAGATATATACTGTAGAATAAGGTATCCACTTGATAGTCTGTGGCAAGATTCACCATCAGCAATATATAGAAATAATTAAATCATAGGTATTATTATTACAAGCGATGTGATGACTCTGAGTTAGTTATCTATCTATATCACAATGATTTAACCCTAATCCCACCCCACTACCCCAGCTCTATAAATATTTCAAGAGTGGCTTCATCGTAACCCAACCTCATTTTAACAGGTACAATCCACCAAAGCTATAATTGGTAATGAATCGTGATCTACCACAAGTGCCAGCCCAACACTAAATATTTTAGGAGTAGCCAACGTGTGTGTGCTCGTACTATAGCTAGTACTGTATCGGCACGTGGATGTCTTTCTTCTTCCTCCGCAGCGCCCTGGGACAGCGGCTTGCCAGCCGCGCCGACCGCCATCCACTCCTGCTGCTCCTTCACCGCCCTCTCCTAATCAGAATCGGAGGATTCACCCCTGCCGCGTGCTGACATTCTATAGTTTGTGGGATTATTATTGTTCAGATGTATTTGGGAGTAGTTATAGCACAGATAAAGCAGTGCAGCCAACTCACCGAAGGGGAAAACATGATGGGCACTCCATTCACGCAGGACCTGCAGATCAGTCATCGCCACGTGGATGTTTGAGGAGGCGCCCGAGGACAGCGTGAGCAGCCAACGTCCACTCCTCCTGCTGGCGTCAGTTGCCTCCTAATCGATGCCGGATATTAACCTACTTGCTGACTATGAATATTTGTGGGAATATTAAAAGATCAAAGTATATGATGTTGAATTATCAAACTACTTCACTGATACAGTGCATCAAACTACTCCACTAATACATGATATATTCATGCAGGACCTGCAGATCAGTCATCGCCTGTATTTGAGGAGGGTGCGAGGAGTGTGAGCAGTACGTCGAAGGCCTGGCGTCAGTTGCCTGGATAGATGCCGGATATTAATCTACTTGGACTATGAATATAAGTGGAATAGAAAAAGATCAATCCATGATATTGAATTATCAAACTACTTCACTGATACAGTAAAAGCAAACTTTCCACCCACAGTATATTCTGAGAATATAGTGTTGAGAACATGTAGAAAAGCTTCAATATATATATATATATATATATATATATATGAGACCACATAGTACTTCTCATTCCATTGAGTTGGACCTTGATCAGTTTTTAAAGAGAAAAGATGGAATACTGCAGAGTAATTACATAAGCATTTACCAGGGCACATTCACCTAGTGGTCCAACCAGAGAAGCGTAGTCTAAGATTACCACACACACATGGATCACAAAATAGAAGAGGAATGCTTGACGCGTACGCCTCCTCACCTATGTATTTGGAGACGGAGCAGCGTGGTGACAGGTGCAGTTGACAGAGCTGCCATCAGCGCCGATGACATAGGGCCCCAATGCTCCACTTCCGCATCGCCGTGGACAGGCACCACCTCTCCTGGTGTGGTCATCCCAGCCACAGCAGTACGAACCCATCGTCACAACTCACTGCCTTCGATATAGTCAACTGATGAACTGAAGCAGGCAAAGCACATAAGCATTTTGTCAAACACCTGCTAGGCTTCGCACTCATCACCATGGTCGCTGACTTCATTGAGGACTTGCCCCTGCTGCCGCCACCCTAGTCAACCCTCATCAACACACGGCGGTGGCGTGCTTGCACTTCTCGAGGTCGAAGAGGTCCTTCAGTGTGACAGAATCGTCCGAAATAACACGCTTTTGGAGACGCTCGTCTTCCTCTAGACACTAAGCACCCCAAAAGTTAGCTATATCGGATTGTTCCGTCGAGTCCACCCCAAGGGAGAACTCGAAATAATCCACGTTATCCAGAATCCAATAATGAGTACGAACTTATAATACTTAGTTTATTTCATACAACAATAGTTCTTAGAAATTATTTATTACAATATCAGAGTTCAGAGTGCGATAATTAAACAACGGAATGAAAATAAGCATCTAGCGAAAACGATACAAGGATCCGTCTGTGCCCACCAGAAGAATCCTCCACACAAGAGCTACTCCTCAAGTTGCACCTGCAACAAGGGTAAAATAAACCTTGAGTACATAATGTACTCGCAAGACTTACTCGACTAGTGGGAATAATTTCCCGACTCTCAAAAAGTATGATAGGCAATATGGGTTTGCTGTTTTCTTTTTGTTTACGAAAAACATTACTAATAGTTCATCCTTACAGTCAAGTTTTATTAGCAGTCATGATTAATTCATTAGCTAACCATTCTAGGTAAGTACTTATTCCACTTTCAAGCAAGAGTTGAGCAATCAGAACCATTTTACCATCTTTCATCTTTCAGTTCTTACTACGGTGCTAGACCATAGCCAAGTCGTACCGTCTCACGAAAACAGCGATTCGCGAACCAATGTATCCTAGTTGGGTACCCCGAAACACACGCTTCGTTTGTACCCCAGGCACAAACAAGACCAACACATTCCACTCCTATCAAAGGGTCTAGGTCTCCGTCCAAACTTAGACTCCAAGCCCCCACAATTGAGACCCGGTCTCAGTGTGGTGCTTAGACCTCCACCTTTCTCCGCCTCCAATTAGTCAGTTTAGAAAGAGCCAGAACCCACAACAAGAGTGTAACGAGCCTTTCCGCTCCTATAAGCAAGTATGTGCTTAGGAGAATATGTCTGTGACCTAACTACTATCTACAGCAATGGACAGTCCTTAATCGACTTGGACAGGGAAAACAGTGTAACCAAGCTAAACCCCGTTGGCCGCGGGACACAACTTGTTACACCCACCAAAAACCATATCATATCCCTGCCTTGTCTCCATTTTCCCTGTCATCATTTTGTTATGAGAGTAATAATAATCACCTATTGTGAGTAATGGCAGATTACTCACGCTATCAAAAACCTAAGCATAGCAGCTACTAAACCTGCACTAGTAAGACTCTTAGGATAGATATATTTATGCAGGTGTTTTTTCATTAAATTCCTATAACGTAAATGCACATGACATATGTAAACAGTTATTATAAAAAATAAGGGATTATGCACCGGGGCTTGCCTTGGGCAGACGCGGTGTCAGCTAAGTCAGTCAGTGGCGGCTCCGGGACCTTCTCCTGCACGAGAATCTCCTCCTTGTATTCCTCGTCGATCTCCTCGAACTCGTGATCGCCGGTAGTCACGATCTCCGCCAACTCGTTCTCTACATGCATGCGATGATGATACAACCCTTAGCATTTAAGCAATAGCAACTCCTAAACTAAGAATACGCATACTAAGCTACTAAGCTAGCTCTAACGACTAAGGTACTAAACTAACTATCATTTTTATCAAGCAAAGTGTTGGGTTCACCTAACAAACATCTAGCTTTACAAATGAAGAATATATCTTTATTTTTACTAATGATTTAATGTATATTGAAACAAAGGGCATTTAACTATCCTAATGTTTAGTCTATTCTAAAACTACAAAAATTACAGTGAGCACATAATAATA